CATTAGCTATAAGCTGAAATAGAGATTCTTATAAACTAAATAAATAACTTCACAGTTTTATTTGACAAGTTGAAATGGAAACCAGTTTATAACGATTATGCACACATGTTTATGCAATGAAAGTGGCGATAACAAAGCATCTTCATGCGGAATCCAGTTCCTTGTCGCTTGTGCTCTAATCAACACGCGAACGCCTCATTAACCCACATTATAAAGAAATATGTGTGTGTACTTTAAACCGAACAATGGAAACAATGAAAATGTGCCATAAAAGGCGAATCCGGTTCTGAATCACATTTATCACTTGAAATGATGTCAATTCTGAAATACCAGCAATTAGAACCGAGTTTGGTAATTACAATCATCCCCATGTAATGCCAAAAAAAAAAAAAACTGACTTATCTGGTTGCCCTTTACTTTGTTCCATAATTAATTAACTCGATATAGGGACTTGTAAATGGGAGTGTACAAATAATTTTAGCTGTCAATTTGTATTTATTTATTGTTTTGTTTGTTTATCTTTACATCTTTATAACGAAAGTATTGCTTTAATGAACTATAGTAAAAAAGCTTAATTACTTTTCTTGACCTACTGCGTATTTTAAAATGATGTAAAAGAGGCATTTGAATTTGCTAACATATTTACAGAAATCAAGGTTTCTATTGCAGAGTTTCTTTTTGTTTGATCATTTTTGGTCTACTTATATTGGTTTTAAATAAATGCGCGCTTCTGCCCTTGTTCGTGCAGTGTTGTAAAACTGCGCAAGTGGCTTTCAAGCTAATGAGTTAAGTTGCTCTAACAGAAAACAGCTGTTTAGCTAAATTCACTCTGGTCACACTTACTAGAGAGCACTGGAAATACAAAAACTTAAATGAAGCTACCTCAACTAGTAGAATTTTATAAGAAACCTGTGAGCTACCGTCAAGGTATAATTAAACAAGCCGGGGCCCTAGATATAACAGTTGCTATGAATTACTAAGCAATCGATTTGATTTGGACTTCGTTAATCCTCTGTTTCCAGCAGCAAAAGTATGGAAATTATAATCACCTTGAAGGATTGCTTGTGTGACCGTTCTCTTCAAGGAAAACGTGACTTTGCCCGTTGAACTTTACCGTTGGTAAAAAACACAAGTTTAAATCGTTTTTAACACTAATTTCATTTGGACAAAGATTCTGTTACATTGGCGGCAATTCAAATTATGACAGGATACCAAAAATGGCGCCTTGTAGCGCAAAAGGATCCCCAAGAGTTTGTCGCGGCTATCCAGCTGCTAAGTTGATTCAACTCAATTGGACATCAACTAAGCATTTGAAAACTAGTTACTATTTATGTTTCAATATTCACAATTAAGTAAAACTGAAACTTATCTAAAATCGCGAAGTGTAAATTTGATAAGTAAGATGTGCCTTTGCGAAAGCTGTGAGTGTATGGATAACCTCTGTTGTTCGCTGAAGGCAAAAGCCATGTTTTTTTCAATCTGGACACTTGTAAATGGCGTCATTTCAATACTTGTTGGTTTTTTTCTAAGAGCAGGTAAGTTTTTATAATCGAGGATTTGCATCATGAGTAGACTAAGAAAATAGGCCTTCCATTTTAAGATACGTCAGTTATCTGTCTTTGTTATGCTTTAGTAGTGCTGCATATATTGGCCGGTATTCTCTTGTTGCTGGGCGTTCTTAAAGTAAGTGCTTAAGTTTATGGTACTTTTCGATTTCATACTCTGCTTACCAAGTGAAAAAGAGTTTATAAATATTGTGTATTGTCCGTATGTTACTTGGATTTATCCAAAAAATTTATGGCTGGTAAAAATGCATATTTTCTGTTGACAGTTTGAAAGTCAAAGCCTTGGTGTGTCACTAAAGCAATGTAAATTACTATTACACTGTGAGCAGAGTATTGCACAGTCGTTTGTACCCTGCGAAAATGTTCCTACTTATTTCTGTTTTCTATCTAGCACTGGGCAAAAATATTTCTTGCTGGCATCATCTTAAGCTCATTTCTACCATATATGTTTTTATTCTTACCTTATCTAGCAGGTAAGCCTGATATATATAGGTTAAACCAAACTCTGTAGCATATATTTTTATTTTCAGTTGTTCAAGTCATCTTTACAATAACCTCTTGCAGATATTATATGCTTCAACTAAAATAGATTTGGGTAGAGTCAGAATATTCAATGATTGTCGTGTAAATAAAATTTTGGTTAATAAATACTTTCGGCTTGAGTCACAGTATACAAGACCGCATTGAATTCTCAATATAATTTAATTCATATGTGAACCGGTAGCAAGCTTATTTAGCTTAGTTAGTTTCTCTTTGTCATGTTCAATATGAAATTAATTTGAAAAATTCGCCAACAACCGCCACTCTTTGTGCAGTGTTGATAAATTGCGCGAAGGCTCAAAATCAGGTTGCACACAAACACAGCTGTTCAACTAAATCTCTCTGGTCACACTTCCAGACGAATCCACAAAATGCACAAATCTAAAAGTAATTAACCGAACTCTGAATCTAAATCAATTATAAGAAAGACGACTTTTATCAGGAAACATTGCAGATAAGGTTTGTATAAAATGTACATGAATAATATCAATAATATTTCTAATGACGCAGCAAGCGGGGAAGCCTAGAAATGAAATTCACTATGAATCACAAAAATAGATAAAACTACACTTGTATATGTATGTACAACTGTATGTATTAATATATACTGCCAAAACACAAATCGGCTCGGCACTCAGGTGTATAGGTCATAGTGACCCATTTATCGATTAAACCGTGTGACGCCGAATTACATCAAGTCTACATGAATATGTTAGCAAAACGGGGGTTCCCCCTTGATATCTGTCGCACACGAATATATGTGGGCTTGACTTCGAACGCTTTTGTATTTTCAGTGTCAGATCGAACGTAAACACGAAATGACCGAAGAAGACTCGTTCGTTATTTTGGGCAGTTCGCCGTTATCTTCGCTCTGCTCTCACGGCAATTCATTGCTAACCGATGCATTGGACAAGGAAGAAAATGGAACTGCCGAGGAAGCTGAAGAATTACCAAAGCCGGTGGCTGCTGAAACCCCAGCCAGCTCGACTCAAGTGAGTGATATAACTCAGAAGGCTAATTCCATGGAGGGAAGCCTGCCCGCAACATTGCCTTCTGGGCAAAGTTCGTTGGCAGCAAGCTTTCTAATGGGCGAGGTTAATCCCGATGTGCTTAAGGTATGCATTTATTATAACTTAATATTATGCTCCGAATTTAATGATTGATTTATGCCCAGCAGAACAGCGTTTACTCTCAGTTTCCCAGCCTTTGCTCGATGCAAGCCTGCGCCGAGGATGTCGTAAAGCTGCAGACGATGATGACCGATTACATGGCATTAAAACGTATGTCCAGTATTATTCATTTTGTGCTATATAAAAGTGCAAATCTGTTTACATTTAGGACAATAGACATGTATACAAAGTATTTCTTACCTAAATTAACACAGATTTGTGTTTTTATATATTATAAACTTGAGTAATCCTTTTCATACATTTAGACATAGCGCACTAATTCGTAAGGTCTTGAAGTAGATGCTAGCTAAATTCTAATATACAAATCTGAAACAACTCTTTATGCAGAAACGTTGGAAAAAGTCACGCACACGATGCAGGAATATTACAAAATTACACAGCAATGGCGCTTGGAAGCAAACGCCCGAGAGCAAAATTATCAGGAGCAATTGAAGGAATGCCAAACACAGATCGAAAAGATAAGCGAGGAAAATCAACAGCTGAAAAGGGAATTAGAAATGAACTTGGAACAAATACGTGTGGTTGAAGAGATACACCAGAAGGAGCACGATGAGCTCCGACAAAGTGTTTCTGAAAAGTCATCGTTGATCAACAACATGCGTGTTGAAATTGACAGGCTGCAGAAGCACCAACTGGTAACTACTCGAAGTCCAAGTAATATTAGAAGCACACCATAATATACATAAACAACTGCAATTCTTATCGTACTGTCCTACTCAAGCCATGATAAGATACAGTTCTGCGTTAATATTTATGCGTAGTTTACTTGTTATTCTTCTTAATCACAAAGCAAACAATTTCAACATTTACAGAATTCTTACGAATATGTGCCTGATGAGAGTATTGCCCAGCCGGATTATAAGAAAATATCGGACGAACATGAATGCCAAGTCAAGGATTTGCAGCGACAGATGTCTGCATTATTGGCCGAAAATCTGGAATTTAAGGACATGGTTTGTACCGAATAGAAAGCCAATCGTAATAAACTAATAAGTTCTATAATTTTTAGAAAAAAACCTATATTGAGGAAATAGATTGCCTGAAGGTAAACTTAACCAGCGCGGAGGAGCTCTTAAATGTCATGCGTGCCGATGTCAATGCGTTAAAGGCAAACGATGCACAAAAAGATGACGAGATTACACATTTGAAGACACAGATTGATATTTATCGACGCGATTTCGAAATGGAGCGCGCTGATCGTGAAAAGAACGCTGGCGAAAAGGAACAGTATCTGGTGGATCTGCGCGCATTACAGCGACGCAATCAAGAGCTGATCGAAGCATTAGCTGAAGCGCACAAATCCAACAAGTCTGGCCATGCTTCATCTACATTAGGCGCTAGCAAAAACAGCCTGCGAGACGAGCAGAGACCAGTAAGAGTATGAAATCATTTTAAGTTTACACACAGCTCGGTATTAACTAATTTTTGGTAAACTTTTATAAGGTTTTAGATCCAACAGGCGCAGCCGCTAGGACTTCGGATTCTGTATTGCGATGTCCCATCTGCTCGAAATCGTTTAGCGCTTTGACTGTTTTGCAAAGTCATGTTAATGATTGCTTGGACAAAAATTAACCGTTTCACAATATCAAATACAAAAAGTTTTTATTTAAAAAATTATACATACATATATTTTTCTTAATATAAGTATACAAAATAACATTGTAACAAATAATACCTTAATGCACATGTATATATGCACATTTTAAAAATTTAACACAATTTAAAGTTTGCTTTGGATGGGCGGCATATCCAGCGACCAGACTCGGCAGACATCCTGGCTTGCAACAAGGTTGTTTAGCACCTTTATATCTAAAAATAATTTATGAAAATTATGTAGAAAACGTTTTTCGTAGTCTTATGCTTTATACACACCACTTGTTCTCGCAAATTCCTGTAATGTTTGACGTATATCGAACGTCGGAATGGCGGTATTTATATTAGGATAGACAATTTCCTCGTGTTTAATATTGGACACGCAAACGCCGAGTATGCTGCCATTTTGGTCAAACATAGGACCACCACTCTGTCCAGCCTGCACGCTGCCGTCGGACATAAGCGCGCCCTGATCACACTTGATAATGCGCCCTTGGAATATGGAAGGATTGAAGTCGTACTTAAAGTTAAAGTTCACATAGTATGGAAAGCCGGCATTGTAAACCGTTTGGCCCAACGTTGCGCGATTACGTGCCAAACGAACACAATGATGCTCGGGCACATCCGGAGGAGCGGTGAGCAGAGCCAAGTCGTAGGGGCGATTCTCATCCGGATTGCACCAAATAACATCAGACTTGAATTCTCGATCTATAGCACGGCAATGCACTCGGGAGTTTGGCTGCAATTAATAATGTTTCAATTAGCTTATATTGCTATGCATATATATCTACTCATTTACTTGACCAACAACATGCGCGCAGGTCAGAATGAAGCGCTTGTTGTGCACTTTGATGTAAGTCCCAGTACCTTGCTGACCAGCCGACTCGATGACCACAATTGTGCGTTCCCCTTTGTTTGGAAACGAAACTAGTTATGTTTAAATCTTAAAATGCAATTTTCATGTAACATACACGCGAAATCGGATGGCTCTCGTGGCAAGCTTAGCATAGTAATGGGGGTGCCCAGTTGTTCCATAAAATCTCGCAAAAGATAACCAAAATTGGCAGCCAAAGTCAGGTTGACGTTTTCCTGTTCCCTCTGAAACGAAGTACAGATGATAATGCCTATAAGCCGGCTGAAATGTAAAGACATTACTATATATACATATACGTTTAAAAGTTTTTAGGAACCTTACAGCTTATTGTTGAATACCGCAGCCCCCTCGCAGCCGAGGGGCAAGGCATTAGACAGACCAAACAGAGAACTGCCCATCACATTGGATACCTTGCCAATGCTTATGGTTTTGTAGAAGTTCTCCAAGCCAAAGGGCGAGCACATAACAAGCACATCGTCCAATGTGTGAATTGGCTGCAGGTAGCGCAAATAGCTGGCAATGTGCTGAAGGAAACGCTTAAAGGACTCACGTTCCTTTAACTCCCGCATTGTAAGCACCAAAAAACTAGAGCGCAGTACATTTTGTTCATCATTGTCGGCGTTCATCAGTATCTTGTGCAGATTGCGCGACACTTCTGCGGCACAGAACACATACAAAGGCTGGGCCGTATAGCGCGTTAGTATATGGGCTGAATGACCAGAACTTTGTTGAGCACTGCGATCGGTCAGTGGACGGCGCTGTCGATCAAAGGTCACCAGATAACTTAAAGTGCGCAGCAGTTTGCCCTCAGCACAGTGTCCGTCCTGGGCATCGACCAGCTTGCACTGCTGCAAGCTCTGGATAATTTTCACTCCATCTCCATCTGGACGAATGAATGGCTGCAATATATTGCCACAGCTAATTATGATCTCGTTGTTGATTATAACCGCCGATTGCTTGGCTGACTGTTTGGATACTTGATGATTGGTCACTTCAAGCAGTGCGTGTCGAATTTTCAGCAGCATTGTCAACAGTTAATTACAAAAACTGTCATTACAGCGCAGAAACAGTATTATGAATTTAATTAAAAAAATGTCTTTGTTTTGAAAAACAAACACAAACACAAATGCATTGTATACGAGGTGCAATCGAAGAAGTAGGTTACGCGATTCACTCGCATGCGCGAGTACTCAAACATGCAATTATGACGTCACTTTCTGACATTCACAACCTTATAGCGCAAGGCTGCAGCGGCACAGCTGTTGCGCGCCAGCTATATGTCCGAATAGCAAAACATTCGGCATAACCTCAACTTTAAGTTTATACTGCTGCAACACAATTTAAATTCTGTGATAAATTTTGCACAATGCTTGCAATAAGATTTCGCCTGCTGCGGCCCCTGCACAGCAGCTGCTGCAACTTTAAGCGCAATTTCACACACAAAAATCTGCTGGAACTATCAGAGCGAGGTTTCTTTCAGAGCATTTTTCCAGACACTGCAGCGTTAGTTAATTTTATAACTCTGCCAAAATATTGTATGAAAATCAGTTTTTCTGCAGACCAAAGTTAAAAGAACTGTTCGAGAGATCAGCGCAAAGCATTTATGCTGGATTTGATCCCACTGCCGACAGCTTGCACGTCGGAAACTTGCTTGTTATTATGGGTCTATTGCACTGCCAGCGTGCCGGCCATAAGCCAATAGCTCTAGTCGGAGGCGCCACTGGCCTGATTGGTGACCCTAGTGGACGTAAAACGGAGCGCAATCAGTTGGGCGAGTCTGTGCTTGACGCGAACCTGCAGGCCATTGAGCGACAACTACGTAAAGTGTTTAAGAACCATGAGGATTGTCTGTGGGATACTCGAAAAACCGCTCCGCTCGCACCGCTAACGTGAGTATATGTATATATATATGACAGCTGATCGTTCCTTCTTATATGCATGTATTCAATAGAATTGTTAACAATGCTGAGTGGTATGCCAACCTAAACTTGATTGACTTTGTTGCGAATATGGGTCGACATTTTCGTATGGGCTCAATGCTGTCAAGATCCTCTGTCCAGTCGCGCTTGGAATCGGAGGATGGCATGAGCTTTACGGAGTTCACGTATCAGATCTTTCAGGCTTACGATTGGTTGCACTTACTGCGCAAACACAACTGTTGCTTCCAGATGGGTGGCTCCGATCAAATGGGTAATCTTATGACGGGACACGAATTGATAAGTCGGGTTGAGCGCAATCGTGAAGTCTTTGGCATGACCCTGCCAATAGTTACCAATGAGGAAGGAGACAAGTTTGGAAAGTCGGCAGGAAATGCAGTATGGCTAGACGAAAATAAGACATCCCCCTTTGCATTGTATCAATTCTTTTTGCGCATGCCGGACTCTGAAGTGGAGAAGCTCTTGAAACTGTTCACTTTTATTCCTCTGCCTGAGGTGGAGCAACTGATGCGAGAGCACGCTAAGGAACCGGAAAAACGCAAAGCGCAGACGATATTGGCGGAAGATGTCACCTTGCTGGTGCATGGCGGTAAATACATTTATTTTTTATTTATTTTTTTTTTTATTTATTTAATTCCTGTTATGTTTATTTTGCAGAGCATGGCTTAAAGCAAGCGGAGCGCGTTACCAATGCCCTCTACAAGGGCAACGTTGACGGTTTGGCCGAGTTGAACTATGCTGAAATCAAACAAACGTTTCAAGGTGCAGCCGTGGTTGATATACTTACTGAACCGGGCATGTCCATTCTACAGCTAGCAATGAAAGCCAAATGTTTTCCCACAGAAAGTAAGTTACGCCCGAATATAACACACGCCTGTATCTAAAAAGCTTCCTTTTAGCTGATGCTGTGCGTATCATCAATGCTGGTGGATTCTATATTAACCAGAAGCGTGTACAGAATATTGCGGAAGTTATCACAACCGGCATACACATTCTACGTAATGGTGTGTCCTTACTGCGCGTGGGTAAACGCAACTTTTACATTGTTCGATGGCAAAAGTAAAAATATATACATATTTGTTTTCTAATATTTAAGTTATATTTAAATAATAGTCTTCTACTAAGTTGTTACATTAGCGTATTAATAAGTATTACTTAGCCTTAGGCTTACGCCAGCGCTTACGCGCCAGCAGCTCCTTGGCCTTCTCTTTCTTCAGGTCCTTATCATAGAATTTGCCACTTTTTGTAAACGTCTTCTGTTCGTTGCGCATCTCGGCCAACTTGCGATTTTTCTGTTTGATTATGTTCTTCTTGTTGGCCGACTTCTTTTTACCCGCTTCGGATATTTGCACCTTTATTTTTCTGCCCTGCAGCTCTGTGTTGTGCAGCTGAAAGGCTTGCTGAAATCCAGCCAAGTCCACCATTTCCACAAAGGCAAAACCACCACGGCGTTTCTTAGGGATGCGTATGGACTTGACTGTGCCAGCCACTGCAAAGTGTGACTCCAGATCATCTTTTGTAGTCTCAAAGTTGAGATTTGTAACGTAAAGCACGTGTCTGTTCACTTTGGAGGCACCACGCAGCAAGCTATTTAACTGGTCACTGGTTATCCGTCCATCGGCATTGGGTTCTTCCTCGGAAGCGGAGGCATCGCTGTCGGCACCCGCAGCATCAGCCACTTGATCCACTGCGTCGTCGTTATCCTCGGCTGGATCAGATCCGGCATCATCACTGCTGTCCGAATCGCTTGGATTTTTTGCAATTTCTTTGTCTACATAAGTACCTTCAAAAATCTCCTTGCGTTTCTCGTCGTCGAAGTTACCCAATAGATCGGCAGTGTCATCATTGACTGGGCGACGCACTCTTTTAGGCTTCACATGCAGCTCCACCTCATAGTCACTGCTAGAGTCCGAGTCGCCGTCATTACCGGCCATTGTTTTCTAATAATATGAAAACAATCTAAACAAAACTAAAACCGCTTCAGCACGTGTCAAATGTTTACTCGCGTTGTGAATGTTCAATTTGGCAATGCATGCTTCCTCTTCTTGCGTCAGTATTGGAAAGGGATCTATTTTGCGCCTCTTTTGAATTCATTTCTATAATTAATTAATTAACTTGAACAATTTTGTCAAATCAAACACGGACACTATTGTGACATGTAATTCCGTCTGGTTTATTTATTATTATTTTTTTTTTCAAAACCAGCTTTTGATCCAGCTAATTAGTCTGGTGCATTCGAAAAAAAAGTAAGATATGTTCAGCAAACCGGTCGAGTTATATAAATATTATGGAAATTAAATTTTTTGGTGATTTAATTAATTGATATAATTGATAAGTAAGAACTAATTTTGCACATGCTTGGCATTATTTGATCATTGCTTTAATGTATTTTAGACTTTGAATTTGTATGCCTTTGGATTCAGTGAATTATTTATTTACCATATAACATTTATAAAAAATGATAATGTTTATAACGGACATGACTGCATCGAAGCACAAACTGCTTAAGATCAAGTTTGATTACATTTAGACCAGTCGTCGGACAAGTCGCGAAATGTCATCAGACTTTCGGTTGACTATAAAAGCATAGCTAAATTGTGGATTTCTTTAAGTTCTGTTTCGCAGTTTGCTGACTGACAACAAAGAATCCTTGTTAACATGAAGTTTGTGGTTAGTATTAATATTAAAAGTTACAGTTCTTTTGCATATAAACATTTTTAATTGCATTTATTTAGATTGTCTTCGCTTGCCTTTTGGCCCTTGCCTACGCTGATTCTTCTACGATTGTTAAAGAATACAATGAAGTGAATCCTGATGGCTTCAAATACGTCTGGGAAACTTCTGACGGAACCTCAGTTAATCAGGATGGGCAGCTGACAGACCCACACACCCTCTCTGTTAAGGGATCATATGAGTACATATCGAAAGAAGGCAAAACCATCAAGGTAACCTATACCGCCGATGAGAACGGCTACAAGCCCGACATTAAGCAGACTTAAAAACCGTCGGAACAAAGATAAAAATTCAATAAATCGTATGAACATCTGAAACAAATTTATTTATTCAATTAATTCGAGCGCCAACTGGAAGATTCGTAATGAATGGCTTGTTATGCTTCTTTTTGTTATTAGAGTGTTGGTAAACGCCACAATTAATCAGGCGTACAAATTTCGCAACACCGTTCACTGCTTTGGTTTTTTGCAATACCGTTTTAAAACATTTTCAATGCTATTTTTGTAAAATAAAAGTTAATAATTGTAAAATAAAATATGGCCGCGGAGTCGGCTGCAATGGATTCCTTGGAAAACGCGGATGCGGCATCAATTGACGCTTCAACTGATGCAGCTGCAAGTGAAACATTTTTGCCGGCCAGGAAAAGAACCACTGAGGGAGAATCCGAACCGTTGGTTGAGAAGGAGGTTACGAAGGAGGAGGAACAGACTGGTGGCGAAGAGTCCATGGCCTTGGATGACATGCCGGGTGAGCCACCGATAGCTCCAGCCTCTGAGGAAAGTGTCGACCCTTCTGCCGCTGAACTAGAAGGAGACGAAACTAAAGTATCTGAAACCGACAACAGCAGTGGAACAAAAGCGGATACAACAGAACAAGACAAGAGCATCAGCGAAATAACATCGAAAGACGATACAGACTCTTCAATTGAACTGATCAGTAGCCCAGTTACCGATCAGCCAGATGGTACGGACAAGGATAAAAGTTCTATCGAGGAAACTGACGGGACCACAACAAAGGAAGATGCTGGCCCAATAATTGATTCAACTGATGCGGCTAAGTCAATCGCAGATGATTTGGATAGCAGCGTTGAATTGATCGATAGCCCCGCAGTTGATGAGCTGCCTGCCAAGGATAATTTGCCGGATAGTAAGATGGACAGCGACAGCAGCATTGAACTGATTAGCAGTCCAGACAAAGACACTATTGAGGGTCTCAATCTTGTTTGCGCAGAGGAAGCAGCGTCTAAACCAGAAGCTATGGAGGCATCAAATAGTATGCCCGACAGCAGAGGATTAGGGGAAGAGCTAAAGCTAATTAGCAAGGATGACAGTGCAGAGGAACAGGATCCCAAACCAACAACTGAGGTCGATATAGCTATGCCAACTGAAACCACAGTTGAACTAATTGCGCCCACATCCGCCAGCCCAGAACCCCCCTTGCCAGATCAAATTCCACTGCAAACTGATGATGTGCCCGATGCAGTCAAATCTGTACCACTGGAGGAATCACAACAAGCGGAGGCCATGGAAACAGAAACCTGTAAAGACCACCTAGAAAACGACTGTCTCGTCGAGCTGCCAAAAGAAACGTTACCAGAAGGTGACACAAAGGAATCCCTGGAATTTGAGGCGGATAATGAAATCTACTACAAGAAGGATTGCCTCAATTGCAATTGCGAAAAGACGCATAAGCAATACGTTCGTGCCAGCCTGGCAGCGCTCAACTACTACAAGGTGCCCAGAAAGGCGCACAAGCGGCAGTACATCTGCCTGGGTTGCTATGACACAGCCATGGACATGTACGAGGTGAGTAGTTAACCACAAATATAAATATAAATATAAATAATCTTGTAGGACTATGCGGGCCATTTGGTGGCCAAGCAGCCGCTGTTGTTGCGCAGCTTTAACCAGGATCATGCAGATTTTGTAGCCCTAGACAGCAGTGACGAGGAGGAAAACGATGAAGAGCAGGGTAAACGAACTCATAGCTCTATAAAAACATATTAAATATTCATTACAAACACGTAGACAAACCCGAATTCTCGGCAAATGATTTGGAGCTAATTGAAGAAGAGCTGGAGGATGCGATTAAGACTGTAATCGACAGGGTAGATTTGGACGATCAAATGGCTTGGTCCAAGAGCATATTGCAAGCAAAATCTCAGCGCATAAGCCGTGAAATTGAGCTGGCCAACGACGAGCTTAGTAGGCTGCAAAATATGGCCGACAAAATGCACTTCGCTTTGTACAGCTCTTGTCAAGTGGTGCACAAACATTTGCCGCCGCTCGATCTGTACCAGAACATGAGTGACTATGTGGTGGGTGTAACTGATCATAAAAGAAAAATAAGATTATTAACTAGCTTGATTACTTTGCAGCAAGTGCCGCCAGCGGGTGAAATAGAGCGTCCGCCTATACAGCTCAATGAGACCTACTATGCGGTGAAGAACAAAGCAATTGCCAGCTGGGTATCGGTCAAGGTGATTGAGTTCACGGAGAGCACTACTGTCGGCGGCAATCTGGTGAAGAGCTACAAGATTAAGTATCTGAATACGCCATATCAAATGGTAAAGACCGTAACAGCCAAACATCTAGCCTACTTTGAGCCGCCCCCCGTGCGCCTGACCATAGGTAAACCGAATCTATTCATTCCCATTTATCTCCAATATTTACTATGATTGATCGACAGGCACGCGTGTCATAGCCTATTTTAATGGCAGCACCTTGTCGCGCGGCAAGGAAAAAGGCGTGGTACCCAGCGCCTTCTACCCAGGCATTATAGCCGAGCCCTTAAAGCAAGCCAATCGCTTTAGGTACCTCATCTTCTATGACGACGGCTATACTCAGTATGTTCAGCATAACGATGTGCGTTTGGTTTGCCAGGCTTCGGAAAAAGTGTGGGAGGATGTGCATCCCGGCTCACGAGACTTTATACAAAAGTATGTGGAGAAATACTCAGTGGATCGGCCCATGGTGCAGTGCACTCGTGGCCAGAATATGAATACGGAGTCCAATGGCACCTGGTTATATGCGCGCGTGATCGATATTGATTGCAGTCTAGTGCAGATGCAGTTCGACGATGACAAAAATCACACCGAGTGGATCTATCGTGGCTCCCTGCGTCTGGGACCGGTGTTTAAGGAGACACAAAATGCGCTTAACAGTGCGAATGCCATGCAGCAGCATCGTGTGCCGCGCGTGAGTTGCACTAGATACCAAAAATGAATAATATAAACAATGCTCATTCTCTATTTAGCGCACCGAACCCTTCATACGATACACCAAGGAGATGGAGACGAGCAGCAGACAGGTGAATCAACAAATGCGCGCCATTGCCCGTAAGAGCAGTGCGGCGCCGCAGAACGTCAATATGTCATCGTCATCCTCGGCTGCAGCGGCCGCTGCCAATGCTGCTGCTGCTGCTGCAGCGCGCAATACTGTTCGCCATTTGAACAACTCCACCATCTATGTTGACGACGAGAATCGGCCCAAAGGTCATGTTGTCTACTTCACAGCCAAGCGGAATTTGCCGCCCAAAATGTATACACCGCATGAGTGCACGCCGGCCTGTTTATTCAAGATAGTCCACCGCCTGGATAGCTACAGTCCGCTGGCCAAGCCACTGTTGTCTGGCTGGGAACGTTTAGTGTTCAAGCAAAAGGCTAAGCGCAACGTTGTCTATCGGGGCCCTTGTGGCAAGAGCTTTCGCAATCTGGCCGAGGTGCACATTTATCTGCGTGCCACGGAGAATGTACTAAACGTGGAAAACTTTGATTTTACCCCTGATTTGCGGTGCCTGGCAGAGTACTCTATTGATCCCACTATAGTCAAGGAAGCGGATATATCCAAGGGTCAAGAGAAAATGGCCATACCGCTGGTCAACTACTATGACAACACATTGCCACCGCCCTGCACTTACGCCAAACAGCGTATACCCACAGAGGGTGTGCATCTGAATCTGGACGAGGAGTTCCTGGTGGGCTGTGATTGTGAGGACGATTGCTCGGTAAGAGAGTTAGGCTCCCATGTCCAACCCATCTAATGTTTTTTATTTGCAGGACAAATCAAAGTGCGCCTGCTGGCAGCTTACAGTTGCGGGTGTCCGATACTGTAATCCCAACAAGCCAATCGAGGAGATTGGGTATCAATACAAGCGTCTACATGAGCAGGTGACAACTGGCATTTATGAATGTAATTCGCGCTGCAAGTGTAAAAAGAACTGCCTGAATCGTGTGGTGCAGCATTCTCTGGAAATGAAGCTGCAGGTTTTCAAGACCTCGAATCGCGGTTGGGGCTTGCGCTGCGTGAACGACATACCCAAGGGTGCATTCATATGCATTTATGCCGGCCACTTACTGACCGAGACTATGGCCAACGAGGGTGGCTTGGATGCAGGCGATGAGTACTTTGCCGATTTGGACTACATTGAGGTGGCAGAGCAGCTAAAGGAGGGCTACGAATCGGATGTTGAGCACTCGGCAACGGAAGAGGAAGAAGACCCCAATGTGCCAGATCCAGAGGACGATGCTGACTTCACGCCCGCCAAGTATTATCAACCGCGCAAGAAGGATAAACTGCGTGTCTCCCGTAGCCATTCGACCCAATCCAATGAGCCGGACTCTCAAGAGCGGACGGTGATTAATTTTAATCCGAATGCCGATTTGGATGAAACGGTGCGCGAGAATTCAGTGCGACGACTCTTTGGCAAAGATGAGGCGCCCTACATAATGGATGCAAAGACAACTGGCAATTTAGGACGTTATTTTAATGTAAGGAGCGCGTGCGTTACGGTCTCACAATCTATAATTTATACCCCTTCTCTTGCAGCATTCGTGTGCACCCAATTTGTTTGTGCAGAACGTTTTTGTGGACACGCACGATCTGCGTTTTCCCTGGGTCGCTTTCTTTTCGGCCAACCACATACGCTCCGGCACAGAGCTCACTTGGAACTACAACTATGAGGTGGGCGTGGTTCCTGGCAAGGTTCTTTATTGTCAATGCGGCGCCACCAATTGTCGAATACGTTTACTTTAAATTAAATACCTATTTATGTCGTTTGTTAAGCAATTAAGCACATTAAGAATACAGCTATAATTAAATTCAAAAACATATTTTCCAGGAACATCATAAAAATAAGTAAAGCATATTTGAAATATTAAGCGTTAGGCTTGCAGTGGCTCTCAAACTGCATGCACTGCAGCCCTGCCAGCAGTGTTGGCAAAGCAGTAGCTGAGCGTAATTGTGATGTTGCTCAACACTAGTTAGAGGCCGATGCTGAAAAAGGCAAAGCAAAATTAAATTTCGAGTGTGTAATTAAATTGTAGCCGTAATGTGCTCAACTACAACACTTTAACTGTTCTAGTTGTACGTGCAACTCGCGGCGCTTTGAAATAAAGGTGGGTGGACACCGTATAACAGCAGCAACACGCTACTATTAGAGCGAGTTCCGCCCTCGCCTTACCCTTACATCAATAAGAGAAAAAAAATCGATTTTGTGATAGTGATAACAGCGCTTACGCTTATAACTCGAGGCAGAGGCCGTGGCTTTTGCTGCATACAATTTGTGACTAATACAAAACGGAGGCAATATGAATTTGGATTTTGCTAGGGTGTGCGGCAAGCACAATCTCGTCTATGAGGCCTACTATAAACAGGTAACGCGTCCGTTGGAATTTCGGTTGTGGGCGATTTGCAACCCTTCTTATTGATTTTTTTCGCGCTCGTGCCAAATTTTTGTAGATTGACCCAAAGGGCACTGGGGCCATCGAAGCCATGACGGCCGCCAAGTTCTTGAAAAAGTCCGGTCTCAGCGATGTGGTGCTCAGCCGCATCTGGGATCTGTCCGATCCGAATGGCAAGGGTTTTCTGGATAAGCCAGGCTTCTTTGTTGCCCTTAAACTGGTCTCACTCTCGCAAGCCGGCCAGGTGGCCAACATGAACAACATCTACGTGGACACAGTGAATCCACCGAAAGTGGTAAGTGATCAGAAAGTTATTACACAACAGCCAGAAACTAATCTGTGTCAACCTGCTTTTCCAGGGTGAAATACCAAAGGCAATACCCACCCGCATACAAACGGTGCCAGTTGCGAACGCTGGTGTCTCCAGTGGTGATTGGACCATCAGCGTTATCGATCGCCTTAAATACGAGCAACTGTTCGAGTCGTTGAATCCGCAGAACGGTATGCTGCCGGGCAATAAAGTAAAGGGCGTGCTGATGGACTCCAAGCTGCCCATGAACATACTTGGCACCATATGGGATTTAGCTGATCAGGATAAGGATGGCAATTTGGATAAGCACGAGTTTATTGTAGCCATGCATCTGGTTTATCAGACACTCCAGAAGCGCACAGTGCCCAGTATTCTGCCGCCAGAGCTGCGCAAGGCGCCCAAACCCGCCATGCCACCGCCGCCAGCGGCAGCTGCTGTTATTGGCGCTCCCATGCCGCGTGCGCCGAGCGGTGAGGGTTTCGGCGATGCTGGGTTTGTGGCTAACTTTCCCAAAGATATTGCACCGCCGGCAGCAATACCACCACTGCCCATCGCTGTGCCGCCCATGACGCGCATTCCACCGGTGGGCGCGGTTAGCACACAGCCGCTGATACAAACTGATCCACTGATACCCATTGGAGCACCACCATCGGTGACGGCCAACGCTGATTGGGTGGTCAGTGCGAACGAACTACTTCGATTTGAGGAAATTTTCCGGCAGTCGGATTTAGACAAGGATGGCCTAGTTTCCGGTCTCGAGGTGAAGGACATATTCATTAAATCGGGTATACCACAACGCAGCCTCGCAGATATCTGGTAAGGATTGCAATGAAATATAACATAATTTAAATTTCCGAAACTAACCCATTCTGTTATTTCCTTCAACCAGGGCGCTGTGCGATACCAATCAATCGGGCAAGCTGACCGTAGAGCAGTTCGCTTTGGCCATGTGGCTTGTGGAGCGCAAACAACGTGGCGTGGATCCGCCTCAAGTGCTCACAGCCAATATGGTGCCGCCATCGATGCGTGCAATAGTCTCTGGTGTGGACGTGCAGCCGCAGGAATCGAAGCCAACATACTCGAATCCCGAACTGGAGATGATATCGAAGGAGATCGAAGAACTGGCACGCGAGCGACGTGCCCTGGAAACGGAAATAGCACAAAAGGAGGCCGATGTGCGCATCAAGAATGGCGAAGTGCGCAGCCTGCAGGTCGGTAACCCATAATCCTTGCACTATAATAAAGGAATTTACAAAAACAAATTTACACTATTATAAAGGAATTTACAAAAACTGATATCGTTTATTTTGCAGAGCGAATTGGACACTTTGACGGCAACGCTGAAGCAGCTGGAGAATCAGCGCGGCGAGGCACAGAAACGTCTGGATGATCTACAGGCTCAAGTAGTTATCGTTGCATGAAGTCTGCATTAATTGCTTGAATTTTTGGGTTTATTTGCTGCAGCTATATATAAATAGTTATAGTTTACCTTTTGACTTTTTAACGGGTTTAATTTGAATATGATTTCCATTTCCCTTTTCTTTACTATGTTCCTCCATTGTTAACACAAATCGGTACGCAATTATTTTACCCAAATTATTCATACTAAATTGGTGAATGCACTTTACACTATATAAACATACGTTACGTTAAGGTGACCCAAAATTTGGCCGTGCTGGCCAATGTAAGTCTTGACATTAACCGCACCAACAATCAGGTTTGTTTATTTATTATCGTTTCTGTTTGTGCTTTATGTGTTTGTATGTTTTTTTTGTATATGTTTTGTGTTAATGTTTGTTTATTTAATTGTGCTAAGACATGAAAACAATATCAGATTTTAATTAATTTGAGGTTTATCTGCTTGTAGGTCATTAAGATACGAGATCAGTGCCACAAGCAGGAGGAAACTATCAACGAACAGGAGGGTGAACTGAATGCCAAGCGCTCGGAGCTGCAGAAGCTCAAGGATGAGGAGTCGGCGCTGCAAAAGGAATACGATAACAACAATCGCGAGCTATCCAAGCTGACCAAACATCTGCAGAATACGCAGCTGCAGATTAGCTCCGTAAATCTGAATACATATTAAAATATCTGAGCTTTAATTTATATTTCATTTATTTTAGGTGCGCTCCATGGTCACCCAGCTGATGGAAACGCAGCGCCAAATGACCGATGCGCTGCTCATTTGTCGCGCCGCCATGGAGAATCAAAATGCTGAGCTAGTCTCGGAATATCAGCTTAAAATCGAGCCGGACTTTGATGATGCGCGCAAAACGCTGCAAAAAGAAATCGATATGTCCAAAGAAGATCCCTTCGAGGAGAACAACAGCGGTGCTGCCAACAAGGCTACCAATGGCTTTGGCAACGATCCCTTTAGTGGCCAGGCCAGCAAACCCACGCCCACCATTACCGGCGGTTTTGATGATAGTTTCAACATGAGCTCCGGCTTTGATAGTGGCTTTGATGCGTTTGGCCAGAGCAATGCAAGTGGTTTTGGGCAAACGCAACGCAACGATCCGTTTGGTACTGATGCATTCGGTGCCACTAAATCCACTGCCGTAACGCCAGAGGTGAGCGCTACTTAATACGATTTGCTTTGAACAAAATAGTTTTTTTATATACACGAATGCATATACACAGCCCGGCAAGGATGACTTTGGCAGCGATCCATTCGCGGCGCTGCATGCGCCCACGGGTCAGGGACAAGTGCTCAGTCCCAATGCGCAACGATCAGGCCCACCACCCAGACCGGAGTCACCCAGTCCAGCATTGCCACCAAAAAAATCCAAGGTGCCGCCACCCAGACCAGCTCCACCACGCGCAGCACAGGTAAATGGATGAAAGTAACTCAGTCAAATTACCAATAATATCTGTTAATATATTTGCCACATTTTAGCCAACAGGCGGCTTCGGCTCTAGCGCTGGCGGCGGCGGCGGCGGATTTGCTGATTTTGAAGACTTTGACAATAAGGTTGGTAGCAAGTTTAATGTACATTGGGATCGGTGGTAATGCATGCACACCGCACCACAGCAACAATTATTTTGTTAATTAGTTAAAGTTTTCACAATTGTTAAGTTTTCGTTTGCATTAACACGGCATTATATACATATACATATCTATATATATCAGCGATTATTCAATTATTATTATCGTTGTTAATTATTATCACTAACCCACCTTCAAATTGTTGTAGTTGTTTTAATTTCTGATTGACTAAATGCCACCTAACAAATAAACAAGCATTATTTTGCACATGTTATTTTTTAATAGACCCTTTGAGTATCTTTTTGCAATAATGTTTTGAATATGGCTTATTGTTTTGACCAAGAATGCAAGAGGTATCTGTTCCTTAAACACATTGCCTTAACTCTGCTGCCCGTACGAAACTAACTATTTGCTTTCAACTCTTGCAATTCTCTATTTTCAGTGAACATCTTAATAAATATCATATTTCAGTAAATGCATATAAATATATATATATATATATATATATAATTATATTTATATATATGTATACATAATATAACAAAGTTAATATAATAATACTAACAAACACTCACACACACACACCAACACACATACTCAGTCAAAAGTTGAGCCTAGCAACAAATTTTAAGCGTACAAAACCTAATTGCATATATTATATTATAAACATTGCATATAAAACCCATATATCAGAGTTCGATTCGGCAGCGTATTCGTATTCGTATTGCACACAGGCCGTTAGAATACTCGCAATTTTCATGCCTAATTAGATAAATGTACTAAATCGAATTCGAAAAGAAAAACAAAAAAAAACGCAATCAATTGATATTTCAAGAACCCAGAAAAAAGTTATGTCGTGTTTAATGTAGTCAAAGATTAAAGTTTTAAATTAATTGAACGTCACAATTTCAAATGTTATTATTATTATAATTACAGAGATTTCTTTTCGTTTAAAGACCAAATAAGCATACTATTATTAATCATAAACAAATAATTCATACTTCGGAAGTTTAGTTTGAACGAAATGATGCTAGTCGCAATATGATTGATAGATTGATATATAACTCAATTAAGGAATTTAAATGCAAATTGTTGTTGTTTCTGCATATGATACTAAAGTTTATAGCAATTATCAAATACATATTATATAATTGCTGTTCGACATCTCTACATAAGCGCATATACAACCTATGGATCCACATGATATAGCTCGAATTTCATTAGCATGTAACTTCCAAGATTGCTTTACTCTGTTTATTGAATCATTTTTCAGAAATGAAACTCGTACTCGTATTGCTTTCCAACTAGAGCCATATTATCAGCCGGTTATTGAAGCAAATTGTTAATGCCTTTAAAGACACATTGCCATCGACTAGGTGTAGGGAGTAGGAGTAGGAGTAGGAGTTGGATCGAATAACTTGGCAATTGGTAAACGATAAATGATAATCTAGTCCCACACTGAACTATTTTTTGTATGTTACGATATTTGTTTGAAAGTTATACACCTATATAGAAAGGCGTGTGTGTACTATATATAAACAACCACGAAACTGTTCAGATACCGAAACCTAAAGCTTCCCGTACATTGATTTTAATGTTTAATGAATACATACATACTTATACATATAATGGGTAACCTACTAATGTGTAACATAAACAAGTTTTTGCATTAATTAAACAAGATAAATATCTATGTTCGACATCATTAATAATAACAATTATAATACATATAACAAGTGAGTTATGATAAACAAAATATAACCATAACGAAAATAAAGAAACATTTTTGTCGCATCCGGTTATATCAGCTTTGTTTTACCCAGGTGCTCCTCCTCTCTTCCACAGCAGCTACACCAGAGTCAGTCTATATGATATGCATAGCTTAAAGTGTTTTCTTTTTTTTTTTTTATGATCCTTTCTGATTTTTGGTTTGAATTCCTCACTGTTGTTTGTACATACACTGATTTGATAGTTTGTTATTATAATTTTTTTTTTTAATTAATTTGATTTATGTTTATTTTTATTCCTTCCACACACAAACACGCCGATTTTTTTTTTGCTCATTTCACCCACTGACACAGCTACAAAACATTCCAATCGGTAACTCAAATGCCAACACGCCAACAACAGCGTTAAACGCCACGCTGCTCGATAGCTTCTCGCTGTTCGATGATACCCAGAGTCAAAGCCAGAGTAAGGGAGCCAGTTCTAGTACACCAACACTGCCACTGCCACTGCACCACCCAACAGCCTCCCAGCACACACTGCTATCGACATCATTGACATCGACATCGACATCGACATCGGCATCGACATCAACATTGACATCAGCACCCGCATCAGCCTCCACACAGGTCAGCAGCACAAATAACCAACATTTGTCGCGTTCCAATACACCGCTGCAGACACAGGCAAGAGCGGGAACTGGAACTGGCGGTGGATCACTGACGGGCCTCTTTGATGCCTTTGGCGGCACCAGCAGCAAACTGGCGCCGACGCCAGTGCCTGCAGTTATACAAGGGCCGACAGATTTTAAGGATGATCCCTTCAAGGACTATCGCTACGAGGATCCATTCAATATCAAAGATCCCTTTGCAGACGATGATGAGAGTACATCAGCGGGTGGAGCTAGTAAAAAGAACTTTGCCGAAGACTTTAGTTCGGAGGGTGAGTTGAAAATGGTTTCAACAAACCCCATAAACTCCATCCTTCCGGGTGCCAAAGATAGCCATTCCTTCTTGTTAATGGCTTTGGCATCCCGCACGATGGGGCTAATGGGGTTGGTTTATGCGTTGCTCCTATCCTGATCAAATTATCAAAACAATGCTAATAATTATTTTCCACCTGCAGATGAGCTCGCATGCCGGCCCGTTAATAACAATAACAAATCAAAGACAGCGACCCCGCTCAGCAGCGAATTGTTGCAACAATTTGATGCATTCAATCTGAATGCCAGTCCGGCGCCATCGCATCATTCGAGCGCATCGCAGCCCAAAGCGCTGGATGCATTCGCCGACTTCGATGACTTTGCGTTGGAGAAGCCTGCAGCGGCGAGATTGACAACTCAGAGCAATGCGCATGGGAACAAACTGAATGATTCCTTTTTCAATGCATTTAATGATCATTTCAATGACAACAATTTGGACACCCTGAAGGCCAAGCCCAATAGCGAACCAATTAAGACCAAGTCGCAGGTGGCCGCTTTCGATGCATTTGCCGCAACGACGACGACAACAACAAAGGACTCTAAACTGTTTGATGCCTTCAATGACAACTTTGAGGATAGCTTCAGCTCCAATAAGCTCACCAATTCGACCACTCTGGACAATAATTTTGCTAAATTTGATGCCTTTGATTCACACAACTTCTCCAGTGACTTTGGCAAGTCCCTCGACGACAGCAACGCCAACAAAAGCAAACACAATGGAAGCGCCGCCGCCGCCGCCAAGAAGAGCAAAGAGGCGCTGGGCGGCAAGGCGACGGATAAGTTTGCGGCGGACTATTCAAAGCCCGAGAGCTTTGATGCCGATCTGGAGGAGGCGCTAAAGCGCAGCATGCTGGACAACTGAATAGTTCTCGAATCTAAGAAAAGAAAAATTAGTTGAAACAACAATTACAAATGTGATGTTGCATACGAACAATCTCTAAATAACGACAAGAATGAATGTCCGCAATAACCAGATATAGCTGTGCTCCGGTTAAAAGCAACTTTCCAAAATCGTTAAATATTATTGCTTTCAATTGTTATAGTTTATTTTGTGCTCCATAATGATCACTGTTTGGCAATTGTCATTGTGTATTATAACTACATATATATGTATATTCCATAGTGTGTATGTTGCGGATACATTGAATGTCGTAAGGCGAAAGCAAAAGCCCCAAAATGCTGGTATTATATTCATTATATCATATTTAATAGTTAATATATAATCGACATACTCGTTGACGTGCTTCTATTAACGCGTTTACACGCATGTACACCAAAACTCTATGAATAAACCAAGAGAAATATACTAAACGCCTCTCGCACACTAATACATACACACATACATTCATAGTGTATATTTGAGATCCGAGTTCTAAGCTCTGGCGCGCTCTCTTCTACACCCACTCTCTCTCTCTCTCTCATTTTATTCAGTGAGCGCTGCTCGCACAAATTACGCGTTACGCGATTCGTTTTCAGTCACGTTTCCGAGTTCAAAGCGAGCGGTCATAGAAAATAGAAGAACTTGTTGCTATTTGTGTATGTTTTGTAAGTATATAGTCTATATAGATTGGATGCGCAAAATGCCCACACAACATAGAGGGAACTCCTCTAAATTATATATTGGCGTTATTCTCACGCCAAGCACACACGCGCGCACACACGTACAAATAAACGCTATAAAACAACAATTTGCCGGCACGGTTTGTGTTGTTGTGTGGGCTTTAAAAAAAAAATAAATAATAAAAAGGCACGATCTGGCCGTTTTTTTCCTATTAGTTTGTGCATATATGTGTGTGCGTGTGTGTAAGTCTGGCCCCTTACTAATTAAATTTATATTGTTTGTGCTGCGCTCTGTCGCTTTTTCGTCTATGTGAATATACACATATACATATGTATGTGTGTCTATATATATATATATGTATATATGTATGTGTAGCTACTGTGTATATTAACTGGGTGTAGAACATTTTGCCGGTCAGCAGATAACATGCAGATAGTCCGATTTCTACAGGGTATACGCAGTGAAAGCTCTTCTAACGGATTGCTACCTGTGGCATACATAAGAATATGTAAATATATGAAAATATGTTTATATTATTTGTTTGACAGATAGACTTTGACTGCGGCTGTCCGCTTGAGGGAGCTTTCACTGTACACACCCATACATATGTTATATGCTTGATATCGGCTTATCGCCTGTGGGTTATCAGTCAATATTGTGCCATAGTGACAAGCATACAACCGTAAGCATAGCCAAACCTGAGGCACAGGGTAGGCGCTGGCCTGCTACCTGGCGGTGTTTAGCTATGTGAGCGTAGTAAACAATTAGTCATGCGCTGAGCTTATCGGTTAGCCGTATCGTATGTGTTCTACATTCCGCTAAATATCTAATATTATTTTTATCACTTAGTTTGAGCCATGTCGAAGCCAGCCCTATACTATGCGACACTGAGTCCACCATCGCGCGCCGTCTTGCTCACAGCCAAGGCGATTGGTCTTGAACTTGAACTGCGGTAGGTGCAAGATCCCCCCCTGCCCATCCGCACAGCCCGCTGCATTTAGCCAATTAACAAATACTTTGTTCGCAGCCCAATTAACCTACTGAAAGGTGAACATCTGACGCCAGAGTTTCTGAAATTGAATCCACAGCACACGATTCCCACATTGATCGATGGCGATGTCACCATCATAGATTCGCATGCCATATGCTCCTATCTGGTTGAGAAATACGGCAAGGGACACGAGTCCCTGTACCCCAAGGATTTGGTGCAGCGCGCCAATGTGGATGCACGTCTACATTTAGATTCAGGTCATCTGTTTGCCCGTTTACGTTTTCTCTATGAGCCTGTGCTCTACTATGGCTCCACGGACTGCTCCGTCGATAAGATAGCGTACGTGCAGAAGTGCTATGAGATACTGGAGGGCTTCCTCAAGGATCAGACATACCTATGCGGCAATGAGGTGACCATTGCCGACTTTTGCTGTGTGGCCACCGTGACATCCGGGAATGATGTGGCGCCCATTGATGAGTTCAAGTTTCCCAAGGTGCATGCCTGGCTAAAGGCTCTGGCTGAGCTGCCCTATTACAAGGACGTCAACGTGGAAGGTGCCGAGGAGCTGAAGGCGCTCTTCAAGGCCAAACTGGCCGAGAATCGCGCCAAGTAGTAGCACTAACATTTATGCAATATATATGTATAAACACTAGTGGGCGTTGCCTGGCTCATATTTCCCGCCAGTTGGAAAATAAAATTTTAAGTTTTTACAAAATATATCGGGTAAACAAAATCAAATCATAAAATGATCTACTTGCTTAATAAGCCCGTACGAATCACGGCAATCGATTGGCATTCAAAAAAGTCAACTCAAAATTAATTCTAAAATTTAACAAAATTATCAAGTCTTGCTTCCCATGTCTTATTCGGTGTTGCGTTAAACACAAAGTTAGGTTTTACAAAAAATTCAATGATTTCCTTTTAACTTTATTATATCAATACACATACAATTAGGTCCTATTATATTATGTCTTTATTACATACAATGCACATACACTTTTATCCCTTATTATATTATATCGTGTTATTACATAGAATTTACATGCTACAATATTGTAATTATATCTTACATTACATTTAGCAACAATATTCTTAAAGGTACATAACGGAAACGGAAGTCGCCCTGGGATAGACCGAAACGGCATAAAAGGCAGATCGGTGCTTGGTTTTTGAGATACGGCTTTTGCGAATTTAAATAGGGTTCGGTTTCTTTCGTTCTATATGTTTAAGCAGAGCGCGTTGTACATATTCATAGGTATGTACGTATTTAGACGGGGAAGTGAGTAAAATACATGTGATGCTTTCGAACATATTCTACATATATGAAATATAAATATAAAGAACTGGTATCACGGAACCAAAGTATTATAAGCTATATCTACAGAATGAAAAATACAAATTCGTTTGAAATATCCATCAACACCGTTGAGCCGTCGAAGAAACAGCAACAGTTTGTCTCCCCACTTGAGAGCCACCTTTTTATTGAGCACGGCAGGCTGGGAAGATGGGGGGCGCGGGCAAGCAACGTGTACGCCAGAGGCGCTTGTGAGGAATGAAAAGTCAATGAACGGCACTTCAACTGCCTACGATGCGTATAAAATATATAAATGGGTAAACAGGCTATCACGACGCACGCTCATGCACAAACAGCACTCTATTACATAAAGTGTATCTGTGACTGTGTGCCTTGTCTCTCAGTTCCTAATCTCGACGCAACAAGAAACGCTTGATGCTCTCCGGCAGCGGCAGCCGCGCAATGGCGCCAGTTGCGATGTGCTCCAGTATAACATTGCGACAAGCACTTTGCAAGGACAGAACTGAAAACGGATGTTTAAATAAGGCCAATCAAATTACGTATGAAATCCCATTACTTACTGCCCTCCAACTGTATGATGCGTATTTGCTTGGTTGTGCCATAAACATCAATAACAACATATAAAGGTGACCTATTTAGCGGTATATCCTTGGTGACTGGTCCCCTGTCCACGCCATTGATAATAAAGTGCAATTCGCCCTGGGATGCGTCAGTCTCCGTGGGCACATACATAATGCCTATGCGTGAGCCTCTGTCGGTGAGCAGTATATCGGAGTTGCCATTGTCCATCGAGGGCCGCAACAGCCGCTTGGGCAGTAAACCACGCGGCGTACGTACATGCGTTGCATCGCCCAGTAAATTACCTGTGGAATGGAACGCGATGGTTAATTCAGGACATTTTGGTGGCTACACTGTATGCACTTACGCTGTGCCGGCTCATTTGGAATGAGCTCCACGTTTTCGCCGGTTTGCTCCTGACGTTGATTCATCTCGAATTTTGAGATCGGATATATCCAGCTGTTGCCCAAATTGGCCAAGTCGGGCAGTGCAAAGTGAGGTAATCCCTCGCTGCGCATGCCGATGACATTCGGTGTCAGCTCCGTAAGACCCAGTCGCATGTGGCCCGACCAGCCGCGTTCAATTTTCTCAATCTCCACTAGAAATATTTCGCCGGGCGCCTGAAAAATAAAACAAATGAAATAAATCAAGTATCATACTTGACTCGTCCAGGTGCCGCCTGGCCGCACTGCACACACATACATCCGCATAGATACATATTGGATTGAGTGCGATTTGTGCTTACCAACGGTCGCTCGGAGAATGTGAGTGCATCGGCGAAGCTGGTGCGCCGAAAGGCGACTGTGGCATCGTCATCTAAGCGTATGTTCGAGCCGTGGTATGGATGAAACCGAAAGAGCTGACGTTCCCACACACCAGCACCAGTTGTTGCGAGTTTTGCATCATTCATTATTGCTGCGGCATCGATCTGTTCTCGGTCCGCCTCGTTGTTGCCGGCAAAGTCGGCTAGATGCGGCGCCTGGTGGTTGTCATCAACGGCATCCATGTTTTGTAGTATTATTTATTTCTACCATATGTATTTTTTTATTTGTGTAAATTTTTAGTTGATCAGAGGTTGACGTCCGACAGTGTTGAGTAACGTCAAACTGCTGCTCCTGCTAGTGTTGACAAACGCACACTTTTCTTTTGACGTAACAGCGCACAGCTGATTGCAGCAGCAGGCGAGAGCAGCAAAGAAAAAGGTAAATTATCAAAAAAAACCGTGCAACCTGAAAGAAAATGTGCATTTCAATAAATACCCACAGATGCGCATACCAGGAGCTCTATATGCGGCACGTGGCCGTGCGCCACAAAACGAAAAGGAGGTGCCATTTCAGGAGATATTGCCACTGCGGCTGAAAAACACAGTCAGTGGCAAGGCCGATTCCGGCTCAGATGTGGCATGCCTGCAGGAGATGGGCGTGCTCTTTGCCTGTCTGAAGGACAACGAGTTTGTGGAGAAATATTGTAATAAGGAAATCAATCAGTTCCAGAAATGTTACAAATTCTACATGGATCGCAAATTCGAGGCGAAAAAGACCGTCAACCAGGGCATCGTACAGCCTGGCAATAATCTAAACTACAAACAGTTGAACAAATACATGAGACGCTTCCCGAATCCCCAGTAGTAGCAGCTAATGCTTTGATCGCCATTACAATACATGTTCAAATATTTACAAAGTCTTTTAAATTGTTGTTTATGCTTAATAGACGACATCCGCATCACCCAGTCCCGCCGAGGATTGGCTCACAGGCGAAGGCTGGCTGAGCACAAAGTCCGACATATTTCGCAGATTGTGGAACTGCGTATGCTGCTGCTGCTGCTCATATAGCTCCGACATGAGCGCCTGCTTCTCACAGGCCAGCAGCTCGGCGTCATTGGAGGCGTACGGCTTGAAGTTAAAGTGCTGCAGGGACTTGCGGGGCAGCGCCAGATTAATGTGCAGTGGATAACCGCCATGATCCCAGGTGTCTGTCAGCAGGGCCAAGCTGCGGTTGGCTTCCAGGACGCGTGCACGTTGATAGTTGAGTCTCTCCTGCTGCAGCTCAGACCATTGCTCCTGGTTAGATGTCGTATATATATATATATATATATATATGAAGTGTAATTATAGATATATTTTATAGTTATAGCTGATAGAATGACACTTACAAATCGCGTGCCCAGACGCCCAAAGTACTTGATCTGCTCCTGCACATTGAGCACCTGCTGCATATAGAAATCTCGCGCCTTCTCCACGCCATCCAGGCCAAACAGCAGCAGCTCCCGCTGCTCCTCCAGCTGCTTCAGTCGCTTCAGCATATTATAGTCTATGCCATGCTGCAATGTGTGCCGGCGCGATTCGCGACGCTTGTTATTGGACTTCTTGGGCGGCAGCGCCAGCGTCAGGCCGCCCAGCGCATAATCCGTTGCCGATGTGGAGGAGGAGCCGCCATCGGCGGAGCCGCGATGCTCGAATTGCTCGCGTGCAGTCTTCAAACTCTTCTGCTTGGCGCACGCCTCCGCCGCACGCTGCTCGGTGTGCATCAGACTCAGCTGCCAGTTCTGCAATGCGTTGCGTATGTCCGCCTTGGCCAGTGGCGGACCAGTTGTCGACTGACGCGGCGGTTTTGGCGGCGGCGCTGGCGTACCATAGTCCTCGTCATGCTCCAGCTCGGGACTCATCTGTGAGCGCGGACGTACCTTGGCCGTGGGCGCACCGCTGTCCATAGCCAGGCCCAGCAGCTGTGGCGCCGATGGCGGACGCGGCGGCTTGATCAGCTTGTCATGGACTTGTATCTGTGCCTGTGTCTGCTGCTGGTTGCGCAACAAGCACAGCTTCAGGCCAGCACAGAAGCGCTCAAAGGATAGCAGCCCGCTGGGCGGCGTCACACGGCGGAGTGAGTCCAGCACGCCCTGCGGCAGCCCCTTGGAGCCGTCGTCCTGCCAGCCCTTCTCAATGTCCGCATAGCGCACATAGCCGCTGTGCTTATCATCCAGAATGTCGAAGAGCTTCTTCATGGACAGCACAAACTGTTTGGGCAGCGCGTCTAGCGAGCTGAGGCTGCCCGTCTGGCTGCCATTGGACAGCATCTTCCTAAAAATCAACAATAATAATAACCAAATGGAAAGTCGTGCATAAATTTAATATATATCAAAGATTTCGCCCACGCTAGCATTTGCGCTCAATGCATAATTTTGAATAAGCATTTGCATAACGAAAGACTTAGGCAACGAACTTTGCAGCTAATGAGCCAACACAAAGATGTGAAAGATGAGCTTTAGCTTTGTTGATAAACAAACAATTTTCAACCATTTCTGCCAAATTACTCACTTGCTGCGGAAACTGGAAACTGGAAAAACAAACTGCAAACTGGGAGATTCTGTGAGGCCGTTTGTCAAGGCTTTCCTTGCCTGCCTGCTTGCCTGCCTGCCTTGGCTTGCACAATTTTGTTGTTGTGGCTATGTAATGCAGCTCGGTTATCTGCTTGAGGAGCGCGCGGCACCACATCCAAACCCAACCAACTGGTTGGGAAGACTGCAGAGCCGCGCGGCGCGCACGCATGCGCAACTGGTTGAGCGGCTGGCGGGACAGGTTTTCGGTCTTAGTTTGGCATACACACTCTCACACACACACACATATACAACACACCAACATAGCAGAACGCGTGCCTAGCTATAGCTGTGTCTGAATCCCCAGGCAGAAATCACCGTGGTACAATTATAGCAGAAATATTTATTAGTAGAAATTCAATGCGCTTGGTACTCAGTCAAGGATAGCTAATTGCTTACTTTATATATATATATATATATGTATACATATTATTCATGTATTTGTCTTGCAAGAAATGCAAACTCTGCGCAGTCCGTGCTCGGATCGCTAGAATGAGCATTTCATGCCACACGCTCGTGCCTCGCTCTATATATGCTTAGAGTTACGTTTAACTAGGAGCCTACAAATCGGCGACGGACTTTCGGCGCACGTATTTGGCAAAGTAGTCGGGACGCCAGCACTTGCAGGAGCCGGGTATCAAGAACCAATCGTAGTAGAGCCGCACCTGGAAGCAGCCCAGCTCATCGTGTCCGTCGCAGTGCGCATCCTGCGGTCCATTTGGTGCGCCTGCCGTTTGTGCAACCGTGCTGCCATCGGAGGCGTTTGCCACGCCTGCGCGCTTCTGCAGATACTGTTGATAGGCCTGGAAGTCCTGCACCGAAGGCGCCGGCGTGGTCGTGCTGCTGGGCACCGTGTCCTCGGCATTCGGATAGAAAATCTCCGCGACCAACAGGCTAACCCAGCGCGGCGACGACAAACAGCCGCCGTCCAGATAATGGCAACGCGCCTGGATGCAGCGCGTCACCTCCACGGTCTGCGTGAAATAGCCCTCGTAGGGTATCTGCACCACATAGCGCCAGGCGCCCTGATAGTTCTTGGCAAACACGGGCGTGGCATACTCCACCTTGGCCGGGCAGGGTGTCGGCGGTCCCTCATAGCGTATGGGTCCAACCTCCTCGCGACGCTCCGCTGTCTGGGCAGCGGGCACAGCGGGACTGGTGTCGCCCTGAATGGCGCGGTACAGCGTGCAAAATCTGTAAGCAAAATCAAGGCAGAAGCTCGTTTAGCCACAAGAGCTGGACTTGAAATTCTGGTGAGGACTTACACGCCACCGCCATCGCAGAATTTGCGCGGCTTGCGCTCCTCGGCGGCGCGTCGCTGCTGCTGCTGCTTCTTCTCCTGCTGTTGCTCCTCATCCAGAGCGGGATCAAAGTAGCTGTACTCATTGGACTCAACGCCATCCGGCAGGCTGCGTGTGACGCGTGCAGCATAGTGCCGATCGATATTGTTGTTGTCCAGCTGATCGACCGGCTCGTCGCGTATGATTTGCGTTACCTTGGGCAGCGTGTCGTCCGCCTTCAGCACGGGCAGCGTCTTCGACAGAAACTTCAAGGTCTGATTGCGTATCAGTTCGCTGAGGCAAGAAACTTTTGAGCAATTGAGCTGGTGCTGGTCAAGGTTTGGACTTACAAGGGATACGGCTCGCCCAGGACATTCTGGCCGAGCGGATTCCTGGGTATTTGACCCTTATTCAAATCGCCGCAAATGTTGTGTACAGACACCGCCGACTTCCTGCCCGTGGCGACATCCTTGCAGTCCGCATTAATGAACGTATACGGAGGTGGACGCACGCGTGGTGGCACTGCATTCGGCGACTCCACGAACGCATAGTAGCCCTCCGGCGGCTCCTCGCCGTAATCTGTTGTCGACGCTTGCGACGGCGACTGCGGCAGCTGCCCCGTTGACAGCTGGGCGAGCAGCAAAAAGCTGAGTATTTTCTTGAAAACAAAGAAAAATTCAAAACAAGTTTATGTATAACAATTTAGCTTAATGGACATGAAGAACGCGACGGCATAAGTCAAATTAATTGCCATCTGAATGGATAGCTTTGTCAGCTTTGGAATCTGGCATTGGCCATGCTCCGATGCGGGCACAATGACGCGCTCTCAGTTGGCGAAAGCGCGAAAGTTGTTCCGCCAGCATCAAAATAAACAAACCCAAACAACAACAACAACAAAGAATGGCACTGACCAAGCGTCTTACTTTTGCATCTTAATCTCATTTGTTAGGTACTTGAGGAAGGCGAAAAACTTTCCCTGAAATTCTGTCAGTTTTTTTTTTCTTCTACTTTGAATGAAATCAAAAGTTTTCAGAATGTCTTACAGAGTTCAAGCGTGTGTTGGGGGGCGGCGGGTTTATTCGGGTCAAGTGACTTTTCCTACCAATTGGGACAACATATTTGAATTTTCTCAGACCCCAAGCTGGGAGAGTGGCAGCCATGGCTCAGCAATTTTGTATGGGATGCGGGTGCCCGGTTTTAGTGCTTTGCATCTCGTTTCGTGACATGATTCACAGCCACAATTCGGCATTCCGAAGCACCGAAAATTGGGTCAGACGCGGCTTTTGCTGTTGTTCTTTTTTCTCATACTTTGGTTTTTATTTATTCTAATGAGCAACGCGTCGTGGTCGTTGTTGTTATTGTCTGAAACTCGTTCTGCTTTTTTATCGAAATGCCCTTTGGAATGGTTGCCTTTTGTCAACGACATTTGCCTTGACTAATTGCGGCTCCCAGTGCTCGACCTGGCTAAGTGCAACTACTGTAACTGTCCGAGATTTTACTGCTGTTTCTGCACAAGTTAATGACTATATTTAAAGGCTGACTTTAAAGCAAAGCACCGCTGGTCAACGGGGCCAGAATTTGTCGCTAGCTTGTGCGTGTGTATGTGTGCTATTAAATTGTTCTAAATACGTTTTAGCTAACGGGAAAGTTGCTCCATGCCAGGCTTAAATCACATACGCCGAGTGTGTGTGTGTGTGTGTGTGTGAGTGTGCTGGTGTGTGTGGCTAGAGCCAATTGGCCCGTCACTTTAATTCATTAGCATGTCTATATATATAAGCTGTTCCAGAATTTAGTCTAACCGTAAATTCTTGCCTGGTCGTAAGTGCAAAACAAAAGACTTAGGCAACGAACTTGCTTTGAGCTAACCTTTTGCAACATTGTTGCAGTACTTACCACGAGTAAACGATAATCCATGCTCGAAGTGGCCAACTTTAATAGTCTTTTATTAACTTGCTCAGCAAAAGCGACTCTCACACAAGAATTTTGCTTTTCCTTTTCCCTAGAAGTTGGCGTGCGCTACACAGAACTCGACGCGGCAAGTGCAACAACTGAACTGAGGCTCTGCATGCGCAGGCAGCAGACATTGAACCTCTGGCTGTGAACTTGGCCAACAACTAGAAGCAGAGAGAGAGAGAGAGAGAGATTGGGAGAGTCGAGTGGCCACAGAAAGTGTAAAGAAAGCTTTGCTTCAGAATGCTGCGGAAGACAACTTAAGACAACTTTCGACAAAGTTGACAGTGGCAATAACTGTGGCATGCTTTTGGGAGGCTCCGGAATACGCGTGTAGCACATATTCAGGCGCGAGATAAATATTAAATCTATCGCTTTCTTATTGCCCAAAAGATATGGCTGCATTAACAGGTATGTAGGGAAAGTTACTTAGTATTAGTATTTCGTATATCATTCCATCTTTCAACTGTGTTCCAAAGTTTGCTTCATTTTCTTTTATTTTTCAATGCCCAATGATTTGTTTTTTGTTTTGCAAATTTTATATCCAACAATTTCACGTTTATTCATGAATACAATGTACAATACACAATTCATCAATTAATAAACATGTTCTTAACACACAATAGTTGAATTGTTCATATATATTATATATATATATGATGTACATAATAAAGTGTACAAATTATGCAAAAAAAACAATGTTTCAAAGTCTTTAAACATTTGTTATCAATATATTGTTTTGGTTTAATGCTTTCCTACACATACAATATACATTACAAATGTATAACTCTTACGTTCTAATATATATCAAGAAAAAAAGAAAAATATGCAGCTGTGCCTGATTTTTTTCTTCATGTTTATATATCATTTGTAAATATTAAAATGCGAATACTAGACGTAGTAATTGAAATGAAAATATACACACATATACACACAAGCCGTATGCATATGGAATACTCAGCTTGAAACTTGGTTTCGTTACAAAAAACTAATGAATTTCCTCTTCTTATATATGCCATGCACTTTCTGCGTTAAATTAGGTTCATATATCAAAGAAATAATAAAATTATTGCATGAAGAGAAATCAAAATCAAATCATATTGTACTTTCATATTATGCTAAATAAATAATATTATATATATATATAATGCAATGTCAATCGTTTCAAGAAAATTCTCTATTCTTCAATAAGTTAACTTAAAATGAAATTAAAAGAAAATCGTCTCAACTTTTGCACTTAAATAGCTTAACTAACTGTTTATATAAATGTATATGTATATGTATATATATAATTATACATACGAGTATGTATATATGTTTGTAAATCGCAAATTGTTAAAGTAAACGTTGTGTATAACATCTTTTAGCTTATAATAATATGTATATATATGTATATATATATAACTTCATCGATCGAAATATTTAGTATAAAGTAAACTTTAGGCTTATGGCTATAGTGCGTTTGTGTGTGTGTGAGTCCGTATCCAAATCAATTAACAATATCGTCATTAATTCTTGGGTGAGACGGTAATTAACTTATGTGGCGTAACGGGCGATATCTGGCAAAGAGTTAAGAGTTAAGTCAAACAATCAATTAGTCAAACGTCAGACCACACTCACCCACAAGGAGCGACCCATGTACGTATCGTCATCGTCCTCGATCAAGCCGCTCGTGTGATGATGGCTCTGCTGATCAATGAAGAGGAGCGTGTCCTTGCTGCACGTGTTGGCCGAGTTGCGCAGCAGCGAAGATAATGTCTCGCTGCAGTCGCGCAACTTATAATTGGAGCTGGTGGAGAAGGAGTGCCGCAGACTCAGGCTAGCCGCCGCCGCCTGCTGCTGTTGTTGCTGCTGCTGCTGCTGTTGCTGTGTGACACTCTCGATGGCCGAGACGCTGCTGCGTGAGCCGTGCCAATTGTGGTTGCAGTGGTGGTTGTGCAGCGCATGTCGCGACAGCTGCAGGCTGGAAGACAACTGCGGCGTCGCATTGCCGTTGAGCAGCGTCATGTGGCCATTGAACTTGCTCTGCAGCGTGGTAGCCGCCGTTACGGAGGTGTTCAGGGAGCGTGGTGAGAGCGAGCTTACGGATGAAGCCGAACTGGATGCTGAGGATGTGCCCGAACTGGCCGCATGGCCATTGGTTGTGGGCTCCACAGGCGTTGGTGCTTCGCTGGCTGGCTCAGTGGCCGCCAAGGTGGGCGCGGTTTCGCGTGCAGCAGCTGCCTCACGCTGCTTTTCAGGGCAGTCTTCGTCCATGGCAAAGATTTGCGCGGCATCAGCTTCTTCTACGGCAGCGTTGGCGGGTTCAGGCAACGGCTGTGGCGTTGGAGTCGTGGATAAAGGCGCAGCGGGCTCAGCCTTTAACTCAGCCGGCGGAGCCGACTCCATCTCGGAATCTGCATCGGCAAAAGCTAATGCCTCAATGTTCAGCAGGTCGTGAGCCGAGGCGGACTTCGTATCTGCTGCAGCAACAACTGGAGAAGAGCAAGGATTAACATGGCTATTCGAAAATCTAATACGTGCAGTACTTACCCTCAGGCTCCTCTTCGATTTCGCAAGCAGCAATGGGTATGGGAATGGGCAGAGCCACAGCTTTGGGCACGGTTGACTTCTCAGCTACGACTGGAACCGGTTCTGGCGCTTCCGTGGTCGTGGTCGCTAGGTCCTTCTCCTTGGCAACAGTTGCTGTAGGTGGTGCAATGCGCGAGACCCAATGATCGCCCGAATTGGAACTGGAGCCGGAACACTCGGCGGCTGGATCGACGCTGCGTCGCTGATAGAAGAGCATATAGGCCTCATTGTTGATGATGTCCTGCTCGATGTCAACCTCGGGCACTTTGCTCACGCGCTGATCGTCAAACTTGTACCACCGGCGATCGTATGGATTCTTGCAGGCTGCCGTATAGTGGCCCGTTTCCAGCGTATCGCCCTGGTGATAGCAGACCGCATACAGATCATAGCGCGTATCCTTGGGCTCCGTGCGGGAATTCAACGTCGAGGAGCGTGAGTCGCCAGCGCGTGACTTCTTATTGGACTGCTCCATGGCATGACCCAGGCCGTTGCCGCCGTTGCACTCGCGCACGCCGCGCGCCAAATGCGGCGACATGTCGAATGCGGTGAGCGGAAACTTGACCATGGTGGTCAGTTTGGCCGCCTGCGGTCCCTTGGCCTGGTGCTGGCGGAACCGCTTGAAGTGCACAACCAAAATGTCGGGTAGCGACCAGAGGCCCAGGGTCTTGACCACGGGCAAATACTGCTGGCAATGCGGACAGCGCCAGGCATCCTCCGCACTGAGCGTCTCCGCTTTGGTATAATGTTCCAGACATTGCTCCAGCGTCAGGGTGGCGGTATCGTTGGGTTTGCTGGCGCTCAAGCGCGCCACACTCTCGTGCTCCACGATGGCATCTGCATCCGATTGAAGCTGAACGAAATGCGTCTCGGGCGCGCTCCACTCCAGCAGCAGCTTAATGTGTGTGGGTCCCGCCTCTGAAGAGAGCACCGAGAGCGCCATATCGATCATTTCGGTGAGCAGCGGATGCTCCACCTGCTCCAAATACGTATCCGGATCGGCGGAGGGATCCTGGAGACGTATCTTAAACATATCCGTCAACGGCGTTGCATAGGAAAAGACCTCCGGCTTGAGGAGTGCGGACATCTCGCGCAGCATGCGCTTCTGCAGCTCCTGGTAGCTGCAATCCCTGGGCGCCTTCATGCTGAAGGGTGCACCAAAGCGCGCGCAGACGTCCTTGGCATCAGCTTCGCCCGCTCCCGTTCCCGCCGTCGTCCTGTGAACATTGGCCACGAGCAACAGCAGATCCGTGGAATGTGACGCAGCTGCCGGCTTCTCGGCGGCATCCGCAGGCGCTACATCCAAGGAGGCCTTTGGCGATGGACTCACTTCGGGCACCTCAATGCAGTAGATGTTCTCCACGCTGCTCAGCGTCTCTACGGGCTGAGTGTCGTAGAAAACACGTGTGAATCCCTCCGAGCTGAGATCCACCAGCACCATGCGGTCGGGGGCAATGCCCGTCTCTTGAAGCTGCTCGCGCAGCGCAACAATGGGCGAGCCGGCCGGGACACGCAAGCCCATCTTGAGCTGGCGCGGCTGTTGCTTCATGAAGACCACAGTCACAAAGATGGTCACCTGGGTGAGCTGCGGCAGCTGCACGGATATGCAGTGGAACGGATCGAAGGTATTGGACTGCTTCTGGCAGCGCGGACACGTCAGCGAGGAGCGAAACTGTGCCTGAAACACGGCCTGTACAAAGCTATTGTTGCAGCGTATATGATTCGCCAGGGTCTCGGCGGCAATTATCTCATCGGAGCGCCCGTACGAGTTCTGTGTGTTGAACAAATTCTAATATGAGCGGGTATAAGGGCGTGTAATTCAATGGCACCTACCTTGATGCTCTTGTAGCGCCGTTTGCTCGCGGTATTCAGATCCTCGTGCACCTTGTCCAACAGCCAGAACAGAAACTCCTGCGCATCGTGCTGCGTCGAGCTCCGGAATTGTGTGCCATAGCGATCGACGACCGCCTTGAAGCTGGTGCTGTGATCGCTCTCGTTGCGGCAGGTCCACAGGGCCTTCAGCACATTGGCCAGTTGCTCGGTTAGTTCGCCCTTGGTGCCAAATTTGCGCGAGTTGATCTTGTTGCGGCGCTTCAGATCCGCCTGCAAACCAGAAGGCTATATTTCAATACGAAGTCTATAAATGTCGCTTGGAGCTTACCTTGTACTGATCCAGCACAAAGTACTCGGCTAGGATGTCCGTGTGGCTGAGGCATTGGAGCACCGCGTTCATGAAGCAGGTGTTGCCATGATTCTTTAGCCCCATCACGCCGGGCGTCTGATCCGCGGGCCATTGATAGCCACCAATGGGCGGCACACGTTCCGTGCCCCCATTCGCACTCCCATTTCCCATGCTCGCTTGGCCATGTTTATTCGCCTGTAAGACGGAGGAGGGGGGAAATTATTTGTAGAGTGTGCGAGGAAACTCGTTTCCAGCGGACTATGCTGGCAGGGGTTACGTGGGGGGGAGAGGATTGCGGCAATTGGGTTTCAATTTCGTTGCCAATTAAAAATTGTTTAGAGCAGCGCCAATTTGCGATAAATGAAGAAATATTTAGCAAAAAAAAAACAGCAACAAACAAAAAAAAAAGGAAAAGCAATAAAGCAAACAATTTGTTGGTCCGCTCGGAGCTTATCTTGACTTGGACACAATATCACGTTATAGTACACAGATTCTGTGCTAATATTTAATATGCGAATTATAGGCGATAATGCTAGATAAATATAGGCTCAGATATCTACTCTATAACTGCGCTAATAACAGAGCTAACAAACAGAACTGAAAGCCAATTGGTACGAGGTTTGCTGCGCCAATAAATACAGGGTATTTTTAATTTGTTTATGAATCATTAATGATTTAGAGTTAAGGCAAAAACATATAAGAGCTCTATTAAAGTTAGTTAAGCGTGATAAATGCAGCTGAATTGAATTAAGTTCAAACTTTTCCAACTTTAAATCAAGAAAGAGTATAAGAAATAAATGCGCTGTACATGCTGAGGCATAATAAGGCTAAAAGGCTGCTGGATGCTGGTTCGAATCTCAGGCTAGATTATAGCTATTTATAAACTAAAGCAATGCCAAGCAATAAAAAGAAAGGGCATGAAGAGAATTAGAAGAAAAAGAAACACAAATTGGCGCACAAATTAAAAGCGTAAACAAAAACCACGAAGAGCCACTATCTGGTGAATATACGAATATAGTAAATAAAAAAGTGCATTTGTAATGATGTAAATGGAGCATTAAGGGGCGCACGTGTCGTTCAAAGGGGAAGGCAGGGTGCGGGGAGGGGGAGGGGGGGCAGGTCGAACGGATTTACGATATTATAAACAAGCTTCTTGGTTGGACTTAACGCAATTTCGTGTTGCACTGAAAATTGAAGTGAATTATATTATGAAATTGCAAGCAAAACAAAACAAAGGAAGGCAAACGGTCAAAGGTTATGCGTCGACTCTGAGGTCAATGCTAAGTGCTCGAAATGTTGGCAAACGCAACCAAAATCAGTTCGAGTTCGAGTGTGGGCCATAATTTATAGAGGGCAAACATTTAAAGCTCATAACGTCATGGGGCCAGTCAATGGAAAGAAAGAAATAAAAACCCAAAAGAAGCGCTTAGAGAAATCAAGAGCCGGTTTGTTTTTTCTTTTTATGGAGAAAAACCCACGCAAGACTCTAGGCCAAAGAAATCAAAATAGATAGAAACAAGCAAAAAGCGCAAAATAAAGGGTAGGGTAGAGGAGAGGAGAGGGGAAAAAACGGTTGCCAATAAAATTGGCCAGGGCAAACAGAAAAGCGGACTTGGAGCTGGCGTGGGTTGGGTTAGCACTTGGTGATTGGGAGTGTTGATCTTGGAGCATGACAGGATTTCACAAAGGTAACGATACGAAGGGCATCTCATATCATACCTCTTTTCGTCGCCAGCATCCGGTGTAGAATGGCACAATTTCTATGAAAGTTGTGCGATGTTGCGCCGTGTTGTTCTCGGGCGACTGCGTTTGCGGTTGCAGATAGATACAATTAATAAGATAAAGATAGATGGTTGCAGCCAGTTATAAAGATTCGAGAAAAGAGAAAGGACCATAACTTAAAAGTGTTAGTTGTTCAGCTTAAATATTTAACTTAAATAGCCGGCAATATATAATCAACTTTGTTGCAGCCGACGGCGGAAAGTTTTGTGTCGAGCTGGGTTTTATGTCTCAGCCATATATTATTGGCTAGATATTAGTATTTATTTGATGCTGCTTCATTTTAAGTTATAGTAAACTAAAGTGAAGACAGTTTGGTGCACATTGTGGAGGATTAACCAGCTAGAAGCAGGCGGAGCAGGCTCCAGCTTCTCGTATTGCACATTAGTTTGTCAATCAATAAGAATACAATCAAGTAATGAGAAAATTAAAAGGTTTTCTTTTCCTTCTCTTCAAGTTTAAGACGTGCATTGACTTGATATTCGAATATAATAGTATATAAAGTTTGGTAGAGTATCGGCTAGTCGTTAGCATTAATTCGCCTTCATTTCTGCAATAATTTCACTAAACATCCTAAACATAAGTGTAACATACACTACTCAACCAGGTTGAGCAATGTCATTAGCGATTTATTGTTAACTCTCGCCGAGTGCACGTGACACCAATTCCAATCCCCAGCCCAAACCCAATCCCAATCCTAAGCACACTCTGAACTATTCGCATTGTTTGTGAATTGTGAATGTCGGTGAATGACCACCCACCCACCCCTTGGCCCACGCTCGATGAATACATTCATGAGTGTGTCAGCAACAAGTTATTGGCGCTTTTGTTGTTGTTGTTTTGTTTTTTTGTTATTTTATTTTAGTGCGAACCCGGCATCCGTTGTTTTTATCTCAATTGACATTGCGCTGGCATTGGAACGTACTGCACTCGACAAATGGACAAATGTCATTGAGTGTGCCCCTTCCCCTGCACCCCCGCCTGGTTAGAATAAGGTCACAAAAATATATCCTAGCTGACAGCGGGGAGAGATTTCAAATTGCAAATTGATATATTGTCTGCCAACCGAGTGAAGGTCAGTTTATATAGATATACAACATTTGTATACCCTTCAAAAAAGGCGAAAAAAGTTTTAGTTTCAGTTGTGAAGACAAAATTCCAATTAGTTTATATTCATAAACAACAACAACAATTCGGTCTGGCCATATACGACGTCTGGACTAGGCTCTTCTTTGCCAACATTCAGTATTTAGGGTTCCATAGAGCTATTGATTACCCAAGTACTTCCTTTCCATTAAATCATTCCTTTTCGTTACATAAATCGAGCGATTTGCTCAGGTCAATTATTACGCATTTATTCAACACAAAATTCGATTAGATGTTTGGACTTGAGGAACTGAATTTAAGCCGAAAAGCAGCTTAGTCAATTAAACAAAGCCCAATTAAAAACAAATGCTATAAGCTGAGCTAAGACACAGCCGAAAGACGGCCGAGAGACGAGACGAGACGAGGCAAGGCAAGGCGAGTCGGGGCATTCAATTTGCCCAGTTGTCGAATCAAAGGCATTTCAAACGCACAAATGTCCGACGACGAGCCTCAATAAGTAAATTGAGTGGAATTTGCTTTAACGCATGTTCAGTTATATGTGCATATATACATATGTATATATATTCGTGACCTAATCGCTGTGGCCAGCGTCAGACAAAATGTAAAGCATTTCTCGCACAGCTGGAGACGGCGACGTCGTCTGTTTCCACTGTTCGTGTTCTGGCATTGCGCATACGCCGCATTAGCCGGCCAGCGAAACCGGTACGGCAATATATCTAAATACATATTCATATACATCTATATCTATCTATATCTATACTCGTCAGCTTTGTGCGCAGCACTAACAAATTGCTGTAAAATAGTAACAAGAATTGTTGTTTAGAGCTACATTTTATAGGGTCAATGATCTGTAGTTAGTTTTAATTAACAACAAGATTTCATAATTCATTAATAACAATTTACAAAAGCCACTTAATCGATTGTTATTTCGAGTATAAAACGAATGCGACACTTGCAATCAGAATCAAGTGAAAGGGATTTAAGCTGGGCGTAGATATAATCAAATAGTAGGGATATTCCGGCTTTTATTCGATAGATGACAAAGAAAATATATTTATAAAATAATTTTTGTTGTGTTATTTTTGGTAATTGTAATCAGAATCAAGTGAAAGCTTACAAATGCATAACAAGGGATTTAAGCCGGAAATAGATATTATTAGATATTAGGGATATTCTTGCTTTTATTCGTAATAAGACAAAGCTGCTGAAGAAAATATCTTTTAAAGAAACTCAAACTATTCAAGCTAGCTTATTGTCAATGATAATTATCAATTATATGTTGGCAAGATTATTTTGTGACCAGAATCAAGTCAAAGGCTGCAAACTGGAACTAGATATATTCTAATATTAGGGGTATTCCTGCTGTTACTTCAATTATTTCTATTCTAGTTTACTGTCAAATGTAACTATCTATTTAATTTGTAATTATGTATATTATATTTTTGCTAGAGTATTTAATGTTCGGTCTGTCTGTCTGTCTGTCTGTCTGTCTGCCTGCCTGCTCTTAATTCTTCTATCTAGTTTTTATTTATTTATTTATTTGTTTTTATATTTGTTAATTGAGCTGGCCAGTCTTAGAAGTGATTGTCTGTGCCGTTGTCGCCGCTTGTCTCAATTTACTGTAGCAATTTTATCATCATTATTATTTATAAATTTAGCGCATTTATCTTTTGTTTTTGCATGCGCTTTTGTTTTGTTTATATTTATATTTAAGCTGAAAATACGAGCCGAGTTTCAAGTAACAACGGGCTGATATATATATATATATATATATATATATATATATAGAGAGAGAGAGAGAGATATATACGTTAGCTTATCTTTCGGGCTGTGAATACAATTTATTTGGTTTATTTGGTTATTTATTCGAATCATTCGATTTGTTTGTTCACTGTGCCTCGAAGGGGTTTTCGTGCGGCAGGTGTTGTAGGTATTTTTTCTAAAAATTCCATTGGCCAAATTGTTTATGCGGTAAAAACTGTGTCTCGATAAGGCCCGCAGGCATCGATTACTTATCTGTCTAAAAGTAATCGAGTACTATGACTATATTTGCTATTGTTGTTGTTTTTCTTGCGTAACTGCAAGTGGCAGCAATTGTTGTTGTTGTTGTTGTTGTTGCTGTTACGCTTACGTTTTATTAAATAATTGTAGATAATTGACAACGTCGTCGTCGTCGTTGTTGTTGTTGTTGTCATTATTTGATGCCGACTTAAAAGCCAGCATGAATGAAATAACAGCTTAGCTGAAACTAGGCTTGGCCCAGAGAGCCACAAAGTCGTTTGTTCTACCGGTTCGTCAGCTTTGTTTTGGAATTTATAAATTAAATACGTATACGTAATCATGTTAAAATCGCATACCCGCACACACACACGCACACACACATATTTATATATATATAGGTTTCGATATTTGTATGTTTCAGACGAATTACATAGTTCGACTATTACGAATCACTTTTGCTTGGCTCGAGTTGCTTTAACGTCATATGCTTAACGCGTCATATCAGCATTTTATTAATAGAAACAAGCTGAAAATATCTGGGCAAGTATATCTCAACTAGCAGTTACCCTGCATAAGTATTTTGATTCGGGAATGATAAACTTCTCAATAGAAATCTATTGAATATAGAGAAAATTTGTTGTCTCTGGCTCGCACAGTCTCTGAGTTATCTGTTATCTTGTTGCTGATAAGCGCAGACATGCATTTGCATAACTCTCTGATACCCTTCTGCCTACAGGGTATATGATTATGTGCTCTTCCATTGCACTAACTAATTCTGCCAGGCTGTGGTGCTAAGCGATAGGTGCTCACGTGACAAGAACGAATTCGTCATTCAAATTGATTGCTAATTAATTTTAGTATTTTTTTTTTAAATGTTTGATTAATTCTCCGATTTGGCGATTAGTGTGTGGCAAATGAAGTCGAAGAGTGGTTCAAAGTGTTTTAACATCTGATTGTTGTCTCCTCCCATAAGCAATATAGTTGAAAACACAGCTCTAGTCGATTTCTGGCTAATGCAATTAGCTGTACAACTTGATGTATGAACGTTTCCGATTCCAATTCAATTGAATCGAAACATGCAATCGAACAAATACACTTGACACCTTGAGACATTTGATGAATGCCTTTGCCAGCGTATTTAACACTTGACAAATGTTTTGATCAGCCGATCTTTGATATGAATACATCTACCTACATATAATTGAATGCCTGGCGCAGCGACTGTTTTTGCCCACGGCTGGGCCTGGTTATGTAAAAGGGGGCGCGCGCGCTCGCGCTCGTCACACGTGGCCGACACGCCCACATTTTTGTTGGCTAGAACAGATATTCAGCCAAGGTTCCCGCAATCAGCACCTCGAGTGTAGTCAGCGTGAATTGCTTATCAGTGGCGCGATACGCAAAACAAATTCACATATTCGTGTGTGAGTGTGAATATAAGTATTCGTTAGCCAGCTATTTATTCAACAGTTCCACAGTTTAGTTATGTTCTCTGATACCACAAGGACAAATGGTCCCGTTTTTAGCTGGGCAAATTTGCACTTTTTATTTGGCTAGCAAACACGCTCGACTGCGTTATGTGGACAACTTTGATTACAGCTAGAAGTACCTATATATATACTATAGATATACATATATGTATATGTATAATCACAGTGTCTAGGCGCTATAATGGCCGTTGCGAGTTTAAATTTATGTGTGCAATTAGGTTAAAGAGACGTACATTTTAGCTTTTGACGTCAGGCATAAAGCACTCACGCTTTAATTATGTCTGTGATATATACACACATATATATATATATATATATATATATATATATATATATATATAGGTACTTCTATATATATATATATATATATATATATATATATATGTATGTCTTTAGCTTTTTAGACACTTGTATGCTGGGGCATTAACCATTATAGCCCCAGTATCGCAGTCAAGTGGTTTTATTCCAGGCTATTTTTGTAGTTTATTTCTCAGATACTGGGCGCTATTTTAGTAAAATGACCTTTGATTGTAATTTTGGGCATACATGTACTTATCAAGACGTAAGCCGAGAGTTCAGGGTTAAATTTGTATAGCACACTGAAGTATTATTAAACAAATAAAAACAATTGAGCTCAGCTCTGTCTGGCGAACCAGTTAAATGATACCGTTAGGTATGCAACCGTATGCAAGCTGAATGCTGTGAAAATTTAGCTTGTATAGCTCAATGCTGCGAAATTTCCATTGATTAAGATGCTCTAGTTATGCTGATTGCGTGAAAGATTGTGTTACAACATTTGTATATATTGAAAAGCTGAATGCTATATAAGCTAAGCTTACAATATGCCTATTGCTATAACGTGCGACCATTATGTGCAATTGAATAAAATCTAAATTAATCTCTGAGTAAAACTAATTTAAATCAGTTTAGCAACAGACTGCGTCTGGTTTAGTAAACTGATAGCGCACTTATAAATAGATTAGTTGTATACATAAGTCAATTCAACTTGTGCTGATGCTGATTACCTAACATGGCTTAGCAACACTGAACATGACAATTCCAGCCAGACGCAACACTGATTAATAGTTTGAGTGAATGAACTGTGGCTGCTGATCTAAGCTTATTTTATAATTATCAGCTGAGTAAAAAACTAGCTTAACGCATAGTTGAGCAAATTTGTTGCTATTGCCGTTAATGCTGCAAGGCAACTATTTTTACATTTGTTTATGAAAATATGCTGCTACAATAATACACACACCAAATGGAGGCAGAGATATACTAGAATATAACGGGTGAAAAAAAAAACACACCCATTCTGAAAAACATTTTCAATTAGTTTGATCTCAATTGATTTTACCTTGAAAGCAAATTCAGAAGAGCAACAGAGACAGAGAGAGAGAGAGTGAGAGTGAGAGAGCGCGCAGCACAGCCTGAGAGAGAGAGAACTGAAAACGTGCGGTAAAAACCAACAACACACAATAATAATTCGCACTGCAGCAACAACAACAACAGCAACAGCAAGAAGAAGCGCAAAAGTTACGTGCTAGCTTTTGCCTGGCGGAAATACGCGAAACACACACACACACACAGGCGCGCACACTACGCCACTTGAATATCATAGAAAATCAGCACACACACACACACATACATACACAGACACACAGCAGGCACACGCTGTTACGTACTAATCTCGGCCATCAACAAGTGCAGCAACAACAACAACATTGGCTACTACACAACAACCATATACTCTATAGTATTCCACGTCTAACATTGGGTGGCCGAAAGCTTGCGGAAATGGCTTGCAAATGACACCCAACCCCAGCCGCAGCCCCTCCCTGCTGCCAGCTGCCAGCCTACCTGTGTATGTTTAGCCAAACAGCCATACAAGAGAATCACGTGTTGTTATTAGAGCTGGGCGCGTGTCGTTCGTGACACGAGCACGCACGTTGCTTTCACAAAGGCAAGAGCGGGAAATTCAGAGTAATTCCATATAATTCCATGTTCTATATTTAAGAGTTTGTTTAGACGTTTCTAGTTTGTGCCATCTCTGGCAGTTATTGCACGGCGTGTGAAATTCATGTCGCACGTTTCACTATTGAATGTCATTTTTTGTTTGACTTGAATGCCGTCTAGCGAACCACCCCCCACCCCCTCCATCCCCTTCCGAAAAGACTTTCGGCATTTTGTTGCCGTTTGTCGTTAGTGCGCAATATATACATATATATACATTTTTTTGGCATGCAATTTTTGCACAATGCGACGACGACGACGTCGACCCACGCGCAATGCACCAATTGGCATTTTAATAAGCCAAATTGAGTTGTTGCTGTTGTTGTTGTTGCTATTATTTCAGGTTATTCGCATTGCATTGCACTTGCTTTGGCTGGGCCATTTGAATAAAATCAATGCGAGATGCTTGCAGCGTGAATCATAAATCAGCTAGCGAGGCTCACAGCTGGAGTGTGAGGTAATCGCCACAACAACAACAACAACAACATTAGCAGCAGCAGCAGCAGCAGCAGCAATTGTAGCAACAGCATCAGCATCAACAATGGGCAATTGCCTCACCGCAGCAACAGTCAGCAGAGTGGCAGCTGGCAGCTGGTGAAAGGTGGCACAGCCGAAACTTGGCTAATGACATAAGGCCTTCACTTGGTCAGCTGACTTAAATGTAGAGTACAGTGAAAGCTCTACGAACGGACAGCTGCCTTGCTCTTAATACTTACTGACATATATCAGGAGTTTGCTGTATTTAAAGCCATTCTAATCCCCTAAAAGCAAACATCTGCCTATTTGTTCGCTCTAGAGTGCTTTCACTGTACATCAATTGAATATATACATATATATATATATATATATATATATATATATATTTCATTGAAGTTGCCTCCAATTCAATTCGTTTCGTGCATTTGAAATTGTGTTTTTCGTGCTAACGTTTAGGAATTCGAGGCGCGTAAAAGGTCATCAGCGGCAGTCTAAGGTCTTGCCCTCTACAATTAATCAACGAGCTTATTACAACGGCAACAAATGCACACACACACACATATGTATATGTATGTATTTACATTTTTAGATCAAATGTGAATTGAGGCTGAGTGTAAACAACTGTCGCCCTGCACTTGCCTTTCAGGCTTACATTTGTGCCTCTGCCTCTGTCTTCCAGACAGAGAAGCGTGGCACACATTTGTCAATCTGCCGCGAGGAGTTGCCTCTCGCGTCTCAGGACTGGAGTCCATTGTCTGTGGCCCTCTGGGGCTGGGGCGGCAATTGGCAGCTGCGGCTACGCTCCAACGACGCACGAATTCAAACTTTTGTCTCCGGCTGCTTTGTTGTTTTTGTGCTAGTTTTATATGCTGCTGCTGTTGTTGCTGTTCTTGTTTATTGTTATTATTATATAGCGCCAGCCGCGGCAACAAATGTTGCCAACATTTACACAAATTGTTTGAACAATTGTTGCTCACAACAACAACAAATACAAAACAAAACAATAGCAGACTCTGGCCCAACGCCCACACAGCACCTGCAACAAATTTAGGGTCTCTCAGCTAAATAAATTATAAAAATAATAATGAGACAGCAATTGTTTAAAAATAACATTAATTTCCATGCGCTGTCCGCATGGTAATTATTCTGTAAATTCCATAAAATAAACGTAATCTTTGCCAAGTCGCACACTAGATACTCTCTCCCTTTGTCTCTTAAATTTTTTATCGCAACTGGTAATAAGTGATCGAAGCGGCATTAAAACATATTAATTTACATATATACGATACCCAACGGTACCTGACCTACATGCAAACATACATGTCTGCAACATTACATTACTATGTAAATAACATATTTCACATTCCACATAACATAGTTAACATACACTCACTTGCGCTCTGTCGCCTTTCTCTCTGCCAGATCTCGCTGTCCACACTACATGCCTTATTCAGACGTATTGTGAAAGAAGAAGATACAGCGATACGTTGTCTGTTATCAACGCACGCATTTCGCTATGACTCAGCAGAGGGCACAACAATAACAACGGCCGAACGAAACATGGAAACGTGGCAAATGCCGATTTGGCCAGCGTATGGCGGGCCCAGTGGGTGGCAAACAACAAGAACAATTGGCACGCAATGCAGGACACACATGTGTAAATACATTTATATATGCATATGTATGCGTGTCAAACTATTTGAATGTATTGCACAAAAACAAGACGGCAGCAAAGTGCAAGCGAGAGACAAAGGCGGCAAAGCAGAGCAAAACAAAGGCAACGATAACGCCGACACCAAATGATGTTTTTATAAATACACACACACACACAGAGAGAGAAACACAGCAGCAGTCGTTAGGACTGCGCTGCTTATCAGAGGGGAGTTTGATGCTGCTTTTGAACAAAGAAAGCGAAAATATGTACACACTTGTATATAAAGAAGTAGTTGACAGTAGTGCAAGCTAGAGATGGGTGCGTGTTGGCAATTGTCTAATACGACACGTTCAAATATCAAAGCGAAGCGTCGTGCGTGCTCGTGACACGACACGCGCCCCACTCTAGACAGCAGTGCGTGCATTGTATATATTTATTCATGTATGCATATTTACAGTTAAGTTTCTAGTGCTTACCCCAACATTCACCGTTGCGCTTAAATGCTGCGCGATGCGATTGAGAAATTTCCTGAAGGAAGAGCGGCGCATCACACGTGCTTGTTGCCCGCTCGCACGTTTACTGTTGTTGTTGTTGTTGCTGCTGCTGCCGCTGTTGTTGTTGTTGTTGTTGTTGTTATTGGTGACTGCAATGGTCGCCGCCCTATTTGGCTTGTCCTTGCCGATGGGCGTGTCAGAGGCCGCCCCGTAGCTGCTGAGCGAGACAATGCTGCCGCTGCGTCCGCGACCGCCGCTCACACAGGACGAAATCGCGGTATTGCTGGCGCTGCCGACGTTAACGCTGCTGCCATCGGCAGCTGTGCCGGCTGTGGCAGCAATCGTCTTGAATTTGCGCGACCAGCGAAACGGATTGCGTGGCATGGAGAAGGCGCGTCGTATCTTTTTGGCGGCATTTGTGGCCATCGTGGAAGCCTGGGCGGCAGGAATGATTAACACTTGCGTCGGCGCTGCGCTATGTGTGGGCAGCGTTTGTGACTTTAGCTCCGTTGTTGTTTGCGTTGGTGTTGTTGTTGCGCTTGCTGTTGTTGCTGCCTCGGCCTCTGCTTCTACTGCTCTTGCTGTTGTTGTTGTTGTGGCTCTAGCGTTGGCGTTGGCGTTGCTGTGGGTGGCGGCCGCTTCTGCCGCTGGCGCTGCGGCGGCAGCGTCGTCGTTTTGTTGCACTTTCGTTCCCATTCTCGATTTTCCACAATTCGTCACATAAATTAATTGCCCTGTTGGTTATTTATTGAATCACGTTTGCGACTATAAGAAATTGACTTTTAGCATTAGATTTCACTTTTTTTTTTAGCGCACTTTATTCCCCGATATTTTTTCGTTGGCTTCGCTTGCTTGTCTGCACTGTGTTGTGTACAAACAATATGCGCGTGTTTGCAATAAACTAAACTATAAACGCTAGCCGAATATTTTCCCTGTATATTACCGCTTATTACTGAGCTTTGATTGAATTTTTTCGCAGAAAATTGAAGAAGTGTGCTCTCCGCGTCCAACCCGTTCCAATGTTTTTTCCCGAATATTAATGTTAGTGTGAATGCGATGTTAAGCTAGTGTTAAATGCTGTTTCCCTCAAAGGGCACTGTTAACTATCGTTGACAGGCGTCTATCGGTGCGTTTTCAATGCGACCATGAATATATTCGATATGCAACGCAGCTCATGCTATGGTCACACTTTGGCATTGAAAAAGGTGTAGCCGCTTATGGTGCTGCCATATTTGTTAGCCGTAGTGGCAACGCAAGCTGCTTGACGTGCGCAAGCTAAGTGCTATGAATCGAATGAATGTACTAAAATTTTGCGAAGTCTACGTTATGTCTGACAGGTCACGTAGTGCTGGCCAGTACGTTGTTACGTTATGTTTGTTTTTATAAAGAGCGTCGAATGCACAAATATACAATTTATTGTATGTATGCTATCTATATGTTTTTCTAGTGGTGTAGTAGCCATTCCCTCAAAACGTTAACGACCATCAACCCGCGTCGTTCAAGCAATGCAATTTACTGTTATTACAGCCGCAGCTCAGCTGCAGTAAATGAAAACTTTTTAGTATTCATGGTTTTAGCATTAACGACTTCAATTATGGCAGCATTTTATTTCATTTTACTTTATTAGTTCTTAGCAGCGGCGGCGACGTCGACAGCGACGCGGCAGCAGCGACCCGGCAGCGGCAGCACAGGGCGTGTCTGCTGACAAAAATGGAGCAATGGCTCCAAAAGCCCAAACAGCCAATCAGCGCGCAGCAAGTGTGAGTCGGCGCAGCACGGAGAGCGACAGAGATAGAGAGAGAGTGTGTGTGTGTGAGTGTGTGTGTGAGAGAGCGTAAAAAGTAAGCTCTCGCGTATGTAAACAGCTTTTTACCGTAACTGCATAAAAATGGCCGTCGACTCGTTGCAAATATGCTCTAAAACTGCCAATTATAGGCACTTATTCATTGCGGTATATGATGCGTACAGCGATGATGCTGTGTAACCGTTAGCTGCCGGCGCTGCCATTACAGGTGTGCGTTTAATCAAAAAACCTGGCAGCCCCCTAACAGACAACTGACGAGCTGAACGGCAATTAAACGCCTCGACTTGACTTTATTGCAAGTTTATCGTGTGGAATGTGTCTAAACGTCGACGACGACCCTTTTGCCCCCTGCGCACACTGTGTGTTAATTGTTTTGCTCGGGGGTTGTTGTTGTTGTTGTTGTTGGTATTGTTGTTGCTGCTCTGACATTAATTGGTTGTGTTCGAGCCAATTTGGCGTTGAAATCGGTTAAAAGGCGCAAATTGATTGCCCTGCGGTTTTAATCGATGCGCATTCATTCCAAATCACGCACATTTATCAACCACCCCCAACCTCACCCCCGCCCACGCTCCCCGCTCCCCGCTGCTGCTGCTGCTGCCACATCTGCACAGTTTATAATTGCCGGCAATTGCAATTGCCGCCGCCGCGCAATTAACGTCAATTTCACAAAATGGTTGCCATACATCGGTGCCATACAACATACATATATGTATGCGCCTCTGGCAGCACAGGACACACAACTCGTTATATAAGCGTTGCGTGTTTATTGCGAAACATTTGCAAGATGTTTGTTTATTTGTGTGTGTTTTTTAAGCGTTTTACCTGCCGGCATACGCGGAAATCGTTCGACGTGTTTTTTTTAGCCAACGGATTGGCAAGAGGTAAGGCGAAAAGGATATGAAAAGGATGTGACTGTGCTGCATTCGCTTTCCACGAATATCCTTGCTAGGGTTATGAAATTTTACGCAAGCTAGCGACGCTCAAGGACCCAGGCAACAGACAAAAGGGGTGTTCAAAGGATTTAGCGTGAATCGTAAAGGCAGTTTTTTCTTTTTTTTTTTTTTTGGTATTTTTTGGCAAGGCACGGCAGGAGCAGCACATGATAATTGCACGCAATCAATGCATAATCCTCGCATAATCTGCGCAATTTACAAAAAAAACAAAAAAAAAGTGTCAAGAAAAACACAAAGTTCTGCCTAAAAAACGGACTTTTTGGCCTTGAGCTTCCGCTCAAGTAGCTGTTGCTGCAGTTGGCCAACAGGTATGTTGCGGGCACGCCCCCGGCTAGGGCTCCGCCCAGGCGCAGCAAATCGCCAACTTAATTGCCAGAAATTCTCAAAACAAACGAAAACAAACAAATAAACATATCAACTGCAGCAGAGCTTGGATTTGCTGCACCGGCCCGGGGATTTGGGAGTTGAAGGCAGATTGACTTCTGCGGATCATCTGGAGTAATCGGAGTTAATCCCGTTAGCAGTAGCAGGCGCAACCCGTTCGCCGGATTAGGCGCAGTTTTAGTCCAGAAGTCAGCGCAAATGCGAAAGGATTTAAATCCATTTTGTGTACATCTCCTGGCGGGGCGTGGCCGACGCTGCCGTCGCTGCCGACGCTGCCGGTGCAGGTCAGTGGTATCCGTTATGTCGGCGGTTTTTGCTGGCTGCCGGGCAACGCCCAGCGCCGACGCCCTAATCCGTTTACGCCTCGAAATTAATGCAAACATTTAGAAGGATTATCAGCTCGGTCCGCCATAAAAAGGGGTGACGGGTCGCCGCGGCAAGGGTATGCAAAAATTCGCTGAACTGGAGACGTGTTGGGACCGTGCCATAAAAGCATGATAGGATTGATAATTCGCAGCTACTTGTCGTTCATTCTGTGCGCATTGTCTGCTCGCGGATTTGCCACTTGGCTGCGGGTAACTGGGCAACTGTCTGTATATAGGGTATATACAGAGGGTATACAGGTCGACTTAGCGTATCAATTGCAATGGCACAATTATGCGTTTCGTGGAAGTGATTAGAAGCAGCGATTAGAGCCAAAGAGTTGAAAATATTTGTGGATTAGAGTTTGACTTTGGCCAGGCCAAAGAGCACACCCGCACACACACATACAGGCCCTTGGCATTGTCAAGGGCAAGCGGCAACAGGAAATGCAGGACCTGGAACTTCCGCAGCGCTCAAGTGGATGCCGCTGGCTACTTAAAACTCAATTAGCAGCGGCAAAAAGGAGCTTGTGGCGCCACAAGGGCCACCAGAGCAGACGCAACAAGCCGCAAACAACATAAAAGATACAATATTTCAACAATCTGATTCGGGCTGCATAATGTACACTGTAAGAAAATCATGTGTGCTTCAATCGATATGCACAGACAAATGTAAGTTCGAACCGAACCAAAATTAATTAAATTAAAATATGTATTTTGTATTAGTTTTTAATTCAAAAGTTCAATTTAACTTTCTTTTTATATGCAACTGCCCGTTCTACTGAAAATAAGGCAAGCCGTGCTTATTTTCATAAAGAAATTACGGGCTACATTTTATAGAGATTAAATTCAGTTTAATATTAAATATATATATATACATATATATAATGAAATAAGTATTTAAAATCAAAAGCCAATATTTAAGTCCTGTTTGAAGCATATTTTTACGGCACAAAGTCTTGAATATTTCTTGCAGTGTAGCTGAAATATATGGAGCATTAAGTGTTTGCTGTGGCCATGTCGAAGTCATCAAAAAACTGTGAAGTGAACGGGCAATTATGTTGTCGTCGTCGCTTTGATCTGCGGCCCACTTACAAGGCATCTGCACAGACACAGACAAAGATACAGATACAGATACAGATACAGATGCAGATAGAGATGCAGTTGCAGATACAGATACAGTTGCGCCCTCGTTAGATACAGATACAAATAAGGCTGTGCGTCTGCCGCTCGAGTTGATTTCCTTGTTTAAGCATTTTTTAATTGTATGCTAATTGATTGCATTGTCACAAAACCGTTGTGCATCCATGAGATACTCAAAGATACTTGTACTATATTTGGCGCACAGTTCCGGAACCACATTCTGATGTCATTTCAAATGCCAGCTGCCGCCGGGCTCTCAAGGGGCGGGGGGGAGTTGGTCTGCTGGGTGCATTAAAAACAAAATGAACACACAAAATATACAAAATTTATAGCGGCAGATACATGGGCAGCCAGCAGAGATACAGATACAGATACAGATACAGATATGGCTAAAGATACGTCTACGGTTGGAGATTAGTGGGAAGCGCTTAGCGTTTTATTGACAGCATTTGCTGGCCATAAAATGCTTAATCCGGCCAGAAATTCTGGCTAAGATGTCGCGATTTTTAGCATCCTCAAAAAAGGACACAGGCGCGGACAGGCCGGACAGGCAGCCGCAACGGCAGACCGAAATTGCCTGTGAAAAAATGTGCATAAAGAAGAGTAGCAGCAGCAGCAACAACAACAACAACCATAAAAGGTCGAAGGTCACGGCTGCCGTAGCTGTTGACGTAACAGACAACACACATGCACACACACACACACCCTGGGCCTTGTTGTGCTGGGGCGTGACCGCTGCCACAATTAATCTGCGTAATTTGCATGTGGATGCAACTCGGGAATGTATCTGCATCTGCAACTGCGGCGCAGTTCAAAAAAGCTGCATCTAATGGCTGCGAACTTCGCGCGAATTCGCATCGGCCAAATGCCATTTGAAGTTGAGGTTGAGGTTTTCCGATTTGCATCCTGCGGTTTTCCACGTACAAATCTATCAGGTTTTCTTTTTTTCTCAGCAAACAACTCTTTGAACTGTGCGAGACTTGCATAAGAAACTCGAACCATTACGTGCTGCAAGGAAATTCGAAAAAATTATGAGAAAACTCTACAAAAATAAATATAAAAAAAAACTTAAGCAAAGTAGTTTAGATTTTAAAGCTATTTAAATGTATATATTTAAGGTATATTTTATGTTAATTTCATGAAATGTTATGCAAATTTTTTATAAATGTTATATAAAATTATGTAAACATTATGTTATTGTGTTATGTTAATGTTTACAGATTTGCCATTTCAACTAAAGTCCGAACACATGAAAGCACCTTCAAACGAATCCCACAAAGCTAGTTTATTCGAAGATCTAAAATTATTCCAAGATCGTTGATTTCGAAACATTTAACTTTAAATAACAATAACTCGGCT